ATTCAGTTTATACTCAGTGAAAGTTTATCAAGACTAAAAGACTGGGTTTATTTAACATTACTAACTATATTATATTGAATTTGCTTTATTGGTGGGCAGGAGTGGGTGGTTTGGACCAAGTTAATAAATGGATTGCTTATATGGTTTCTTATAAATAAACTCGCAGAAGAATTTATTTACTACTGCAGTAGAATGTCTCTCATCAGAAGGAGGCATCTGGTTGTTGCCTAGCCTTCAGATTTTGTCAAGACCATGAAAGCACTGACACTATTAACATTTTTAAAAATATATATTTTATTGATTTTTTACAGAGAGGAAAGGAGAAGGATAGAGAGTTAGAAACATCCGATGAGAGAGAATCATCCATCAGCTGCCTCTTGCACATCTCCTACTGGGGATGTGCCCGCAACCCAGGTACATGCCCTTGACCAGAATCAAACCTGGGACCTTTCAGTCTGCAGGCTGATGCTCTATCCACTGAGCCAAACTGGTTTCGGCAATTAACATTTTTTTGGTTTGTTTTCTCCCAGGTGATTAATAAAGAGTCTATTGTCACTTAATTTATTGCCAGGTCTGATCTGCTGGATATTTCAACTTCAGTCTATGTAACTTTAGAATGTTCCATATTTAAGACATGCTCCAACTCCCAACCATTGTGTCAGAAATGGACAACATCCAAGTTAGTTTTGTGAATCTTTAATATCTCTTGCCAAACTCATTAACTCACCCTGCTTACCTTGGGAAAATCCTAGTTCCAGACTTGTACTTTCTGTAAAAACCATCCTCTCAAATGAATGTGATGGTTGAACATTCAAACTTGAACTTTTCAATTATTTATTTTGAAACCTGTTTGCTGTGACTTTAACCAGCAGAGAATGATTAAGATGAAGAAGGAAACCAAAATCATAATATGCAAATGATCGGCATTAAAGGATGTGGAATTCAATAATATTTCTACTTTTATATTCCACATCTCAGATTATATAGACTAATAAAGCTAGAAAGAATCTCAATCATTTTAAACCAATATTTTTCTTCATCTCTTCTTATCTTACAGATTTTTTTGAGATTATGATGATGGCTCTGGATCTCTTGTAAGAAAAAAATGTACTCACATATAAAAGTTTATATTTAGATTTAAGACATTTTCTCTCTTAAAGTCTGTTAATAGATCTTAAGTGGAAGAAGTCTCTTTTCTAGTCCAAAGCCTATCCTCAGGGGTCTGGGGAAGTTAAGTGACCCACCCAAAATCAAACTGCTTCTCTACTGACTACTTCAGTCAGTTGGTTGTTCTGCCGCCATTCTGTTCCTTTCCTTAAAACCAATTCTGTTCCTGGCCGTTGGGCATAACCCTGTGAAACAAAAGGTTGCCAGTTCCATTCCTGCTAAGGCACATGCCCCAGTTGTGTATAGGAGGTAGCCAGTTCACATAGATGTTACTCTCCCTTTCCCTTCCTTTCTCTAAAAAATAATAATAATAATAATAATAATAATAATAATAATAAATTTAAAATCTTTAAAACACACACAAACAAAAACAAAAATACCAGTTCTGAATTTACAAAACTTTAAGGAAGGACTGGGGATGTTAAGCCTTAAAATTAACTGTTTCAGCTTTGGCTTACTCATCTAGGAAATTAAAGTACTGTAACACCCAAAACATTTAAATCATTGATTTAGAAAAGCCAAATGAAGTTAGCAAAATTGTTCTTTTTAAAAAATTCTCACCCAAAGGTATATTTTTACTGATTTTATTTATTTATTTATTTATTTTAAATATATATATATATATATATATATATATATATATATATATATATTATTGATTTTTTTACAGAGAGGAAGGGAGAGGGACAGAGAGCTAGAAACATCAATGAGAGAGAAACATTGACCAGCTCCCTCCTGCATACCCCCCACTGGGGATGTGCCCGCAACCAACATACATGCCCTTGACCGGAATCGAACCTGGGACCCTTCAGTCCGCAGGCCGACACTATCCACTGAGCCAAACCGGTTTTGGCTGTTTTTACTGATTTTAAGGAGATAGGAAGGGCCGATGTTTTTACTGATTTTAAAGAGATAGGAAGGGCCGATGTTTCTCTCTCATCGATGTTTCTAGTTCTCTATCCCTCTCCCTTCTTCTCTGTGGAAAATCAATAAAAATAAATAAATAGCCTAACGTCAGTGGAGCAGCAAGAGGTGTGTGTGTGTGTGTGTGTGTGTGTGTGTGTGTGTGTACACCAAGTTCACAATAGGAGACTGTGCAGTTATAGGGCAAAGAATCTAGATACCAAATCCTATAAAGAGTGACAACTGAGGAAAATAATTCAGTCTACCTCTATAGGGAAGCAGGTCATTAAAATAATCATATATTTGCTATTATAGATTCCTTTGGACTGTATATGATAACACTTTTTTCCCCATGTTATTTGACTAAGTTATTTTGAAAATTCCCCAATGCTCTGAATTTCTTTCAAGAATGCCCCTTTAATATGAAGATATTTAGTAGAAATGAATATGAGTAAAAATTTATAATGATATGAATTGCCTTCCATGCTTTGTTTGAGAAAGAACTAGGATTGCTGATTGGTTGAGAAATCTAAAGGAGGGATTCAAGGAGGATAAAGTAGGAAACTGCCTAAACAAAAAGCATTCTTTTTTAAAATTATTATTTATTTATTTTTAAAATTTCTTTATTAAGGTATCACACATTTGTCCTCAACCTTTCCCCCCATTCCAACCCCTCCCCCCTCCCTACTCATCCTCCTCGCCCCTATTGTTCTTGACCACTGGTTAGGCTCATATGTGTGCACACAAATCCTTTGGTTGATCTCTCTCCCTTTTATCCCCACCCTCTCCTTGAAGTCCAACAGTCTGACCCATGGCTCCTTATCTCTGGGTCTGTTCTTGTTCATCAGACTATGTTGTTCACCATTTCCCCTAGATGAGTGAGATCATGTCCTACTGGAAATATAAGAATAAAAAATGAGACAAGCAATAATCGTTACGCTGAAAGGCATATGAATCAGTCTGTAGTGAGTTTCTTTCTGGGCCAACAGTTCTTTTGAGATCCAATTTCAATGTCAAGCAGTTCCTTATGTGTACATGTCAGCAATGATATTTCAGTTCTGGATGGTGGGCAAATGGTGGTAATGCAGGTCCAACCCTCTCTGGTTTGGTCCTGGGCAACCTGCAGTGATACACAGCTGCTAACTGCTATTATGGCAAGGTGTGGTCAGCATCTTCCATCTCTGGACTCCTTCTCTTCTGTCTTCATGGTTGGAGTAGTCCTGTCAATTCCTCTCTGTTGCCAGAATCTACATAGTCTCAGAGTTGTTTTCTGAAAATATGCAAACATATTCTCGACCAAAAGTTAATAAAGGAATATTTTCTATAAATTTGACTTGTGATTCTTTTTCACTTTTTGCCCAAATGATTTTTCTCTGGCTTGTTTTGACACCATGTGTGTTTTTCATGGGTGTCTTGCTGTTAGCATTACAATTAATTTTCTAAAGTACAAATTTTCTAGATGTAATTTACTTACAGGATATTTTTCCTTATATGATATTCTTCTACTTTCCCCCTTTTTTTATTTAAATATTAGGAGGCTTTTGAAAATTTTATAATGTAGTCTTGATAGCTTTTAAATTTTAATTTTTTGCACTATAATATGACTGCTTTAGGTTCATTTCCTGTTGTGAGATTTTATCATGAGATAAACTACCAATAAAAATTTTAGTTAACACTTTAGGAACAGCTTTTTGTCCAGTGCAATTAATTTTTCTAGAGTATTTAAATTAGCCTGAAAACTTGTCTACTATTTTACTGTCAAATTTATTACTCTAAAACAATCTTATTTTACCATGTAAATATTAGTGGAAAGGATTATTTGCCTTCTTGAGTAAGCCCTGAGCATTCCTGGTGGTAGTTTGGATTTAGATATAAAAAAAAAAATTTCCCCACACCATGGGTACAAGACAACTCAAATAAGTCTTGTTGTAGTGCGAGGGCAGCTGCTGTAAGCCAAGTCTCTATCTTTTACCCAGGTCCCGATTTGAGCTGGGCATGGGGGAAGTTAAGCAGCCATGTGGGGGGGGGGGGGGAGCATTCTTGCCTGGTCCGAGTGGCTCAGTGGTTAAGCATCGATCTATGAACCAGGAGGTCATGGTTTGATTCCTGGTCAGGACACATGCACAGGTTGCAGGCTTGATCCCCAGTTGGGGGCGTGCAGAAGGTAGACGATCAATGATTCTCATCATTGATGTTTTTATTTCTCTCTCCCTCTTCCTTCCTTTCTGGGGGGATGAGGGGAATATATATATTTTTAAAGTTTAAAATTGATAAAGGAGATGTGTATTTCGAAGCTGTGCAATATTAGGTATAACCTAATCCAGCTTTTTTGTCATGAAATTGAAAGTTTATTTTATCTCTGGTACATGTACCTGGCTTTACAAAACAGATATATTTATGGGAATATATATAATTTCTGTTTTTAAAATTTTTAATCATAAACTTGCAAGGTTATAGACATTACAAGATTATAGAAGGTACAAACATAGTGCACAGAGGTCCTAGCTTCCCCTAACAGTGACAGGAGACTAAATTTTAAATAATTTATGGACCATCTTTGCTCTCTTAAATAAGCCTCTTTTCTTAGACATTTAATTTTCTTTAAAGAAAGGACATCCTTATTGTGCTTGATCCTTTCTAGCTTTCAGAATTATGAAGTGTCACATAAGGACCCTATGTCACTATTGCTTTATCGCTAGTACATTCTTCTTCATTTTCCCCGTTTTCAGATTGTACCATTGGTTGGGAAAGGATTATATCTCACTTACTTTTCTGGTGTATTTTGTAAAAGCCCCATTTTACTTCTTATTTTGAAGAAACATATTTAGTTGAATATTCAAACTTCTTGTTTTGAGTTTATTTTGGTGGTGTTTGAAAACTTGAGATTTGAGGGTTTTTTTAAACATAATTTCTTCTTTTTTTCCTTTTAGCCTGAAAATGAAATTTCTTCAGATTGTAATCATGTAAGTATGACTTTTCATAATTCACCATATGTGCTTTATATATATGATGAGAAAATTTGGGATGCTTTCCCTGATGTTTAAAAAACCATTATGTTTTTTTAAATTCTCTTAATCTTAAAAAGAGGCTGATAAATTTTGTATAAGGGCCATGATAAATTTATAAATATCCCTCCCCTGTAGAAACCAGAAAGTTCTGCCAAATAATATTTCTGTACTTGAGCTTATAATTTTTATAACTACCATATAAAATAATTGTTTCTGTGTTTATCAAATTTACAAGTTAGATTTCTGTATTTTAAAGTTGTTTCCTTTTGTCATCATAAAGTCATCTAGTAGTTCCAGAAGTGACTATAGGTTTCTCAAAGCCTAAAATATTTACTTTCTGGCTCTTTGCAGAAAAAGTTAAAATGAATATATACTTTGTTCCAGGACTTCTACTTCTAAAGATTTATCTGTAATTATACTTAAAAGAATGAATTAAAATGTGTCTATAAAAGGCTATTTGTTATGCCATTATTTATAAAGCAAAATATTAGGGGGAAAACACCTCAAAATTCATCAGTAGACTCATCTGGCAGAAGAAGCCAAAAAAGAAGCTGATATGTGCCATAGAACCCCAAGGGCTAGAGAAGAGTAAGTATATGAAAGGAAAGTAGGGACAAATAGTGTACAGAAAACAGGAGAATTTATATCACAAAAAGAGAAGACTAGGACCCAGACATAGAGGGAGGAATGTGAATATTTAAGGAGAAGGTGGCCGGCCTTCTACAAGAGTAGAGAGGCCTCAGAAAAAATCAGTACTATTGACACCTTGTTCTCAGTCTTCTAGAATCCAGAATTGTGAAAAAAATAAATTTCTGTGTTCAAGCCACTCAGTCTGTAGTATAGTGTTATGACAGCCCTAGCAATCTAATAATACATGTGGGTTGGCATTATAATTTTTCCCATTATAGGTAATGGGAACAAATTTTTTAAAATGGAATAACTTTCTACCTAGTAGAGAGTTCAGGGATAAATTAATGTCATTTAATTAATGTCTTTAAGCAAGAAATAAGATAGTTTTGAACAATTTTTTTGGTCAATGAAATTGAAAATGTTAATGCAATAGACAAATTCATAGAAAAACAAACTTACTAAAATTAACATAACTTGAAAATCTGAATAACCCAAGGTTTATTTTAAATGAATAAAGAAAAAATTATGATACAAAAAAATTGGATCCATAAATAAAAATCTTCCCCAAAATGAAACTTTCAGGATCAGATGGATCTATTGGCTAATTTTCACACACATTTAAAAAAGAATAACACCAGTCTTTCAAATAGTAAAAACGTGGAAACATTTTCCTGTTCGTTACAAGGCTAACATAACCTTAATATCGTCTAACAAGTATATATCAAGAAAGGAAGCACAGGCCAATGTCACTCGTGAATTGTAGATGAGAGAATGCTACTACCCAAGTTAGTAGCAAACTGAATCCAGTAAAATATAAGAAGGGAAATACATCAAGACTGAATTGGTTTTACTCTATAATTGAGGTTAAGTTTAATATTTGAAAAATAATCACAGTGAAGAAGAAAAATAAGTTATATCTCAATATACATATTAAAAAGCATTTGATTAAATTCAATACTAGTTTTTAAAGCTTTTATTATGGGAAATTTTCTAAAATGCATAATTAGACTAAAGATTTTATGGATAGGTTAGTTTATAAAAATCAGTTGTATGTTCTGTTGACCAGTAATGAATAATTGAAAATGAAATTAACAATTTTACTTATAATGATATCAAAAAGAATCTAATATTTGGAATAAAATGTTATAAAAGGAGTGTAAAGTCAACCTTAAAGTGTGAAGGGTTTTAAAGGAATGAAGACAGATATACCTGGAAACTAGACTCTGGGTGGCTCTCCTTCAGAAAACTAATGAAAGTCTGTTGATTGTGGCGTCTGTGACTAAACCCCCAAATCTGAGCTTTTGGATTAGACTTTTTGGGCTTAAGCAAAATTTAGCTTATACTACCTATTTATATTTTCTCTGAAAACTACAGCAAGAATTTTGGTTTTAGTTTTTTTCTTAAAAAAATGTTTTTTAGTAAAAAAAAGAAAAAAGTATATCTGAATGGTAGTTTTATTTTGTTTGTACCTTTTGTTTCTCTTTTCTGTTCATTAACTGAGACGTGAATATGCTTTATCTGACTCTGTACCAGGAATTTTTATCATTTATTTGTGTCATAATTTATCATAAATCACTTATATTTATGAATTTGATGGTAAATCTTATACAAGACTAACTGAAGTTTGTTTCTTCTCTTGTACCTAGTTGTTGTGGAATTATAAGCTGAACCTAACTACAGATCCCAAATTTGAATCTGTGGCCAGAGAGGTTTGCAAATCTACCATATCAGAGGTAGGTTGTAAAAGAATTTTGTGGGTATTTAATGGTATAGAAAAGAAAATTACATCTCTATCAGACCAGTCATTAAGGGAGGAATGACTCATTTAATTACTTTACTTTTCTTGGAATTCACATCTGTATTGGTTGAGAGATAGGCCGAAGCCAGTATAATTAGACTTCTTTTTGTAAATGTTCACCTACACTTACAGTAGGATGCTGTTGATTCAGTCAAGCTGTGATAATCAGGCTCTGTTGGTACCCAGAGAATACAACTGCTTCTATCTTCAGCGCTGCTCTCACACTTTAAGTCTGCTTATGTCTCAGGCATACCAAAATGGTTCCCCCAGGAGGCTTATAAATATTCCTAAGTATTCCAGCTATATAGTTGGATCAATTGAACCATAGAGGCATATGCTTCAAATAATAGGAATTAGCCTTAAAAATATGTATAAAATATTATGTCAATTGTTATAAATGGATGTTGAGACTAATGACAAAAATAATGAAAATGTGTAGTATTTTATGGAAGTTAATTGGGGGGAAATTTCAATTCTCTTGGCTTACTGTGAACAAATATTAGTGAAAATCGTGATATAGAAATTCTTATTTTATTTTTTGTAATCAGTAATAGAAATTTCTGTATACAGAGCACACAGTTGCTATTTTTCCACCTCAATGGTGATTAACATAGATCTTGCAACATGTAGATCTATCCTCAAACTACTCTATTTGATGATTTAAGTAGGGACCATTTTCTCCTGAGCTTTTAAGGAAGACCCTGCTCCAACCATTAAGCCTTCAGTTTGTGTTCCTCACTTAAATCATTATGGGATCCTGTAGAACCTGTTAACTTCCTCAAATATTCTAATCTTGGATCAGATATGTTTTATTCTTTTATAGCAGTGACCTTTCTTCATATTTACTCTCGGGCTTCAGAATAGAATGATCTATCTATCTTTGAAAATCTGATCTTTAATTTCTGGCTTCAGTATTCTGCTTATCACATTCCCTCATCTAGCGACATGACTAGCTGTACATACCAGTTTGATTGCCATGTGGAAATTTGGCTCAGAATATATGCAGGTACATCAGAATAATTTCACTCTGCTTGCTTATTTTATATATATATTCATAGGTTTTTTGTTTTGTTTTGTTTTTTAAATATATTTTATTGATATTTTACAGAGAGGGAGAGAGATAGAGAGCTAGAATCATCAATGAGAGAGAAACATCGACCAGCTGCCTCCTGCACACTCCCTACCGGGGATGTGCCCACAACCAAGGTACATGGCCCCGACCGGAATCGAACCCGGGACCTTTCAGTCCACAGACCTACACTCTACCACTGAGCCAAACCAGTTTCAGCTATTCATAGGTTTTAAAAGAAGAAGATAGCTAGAAACTAGACTCTGGAATCTCTCTCTCTCTCTCTCTTTCTCTCATACACACACACACTTCTTTATAATGTGTATGTAATGATGTCCCTCTTGTAACTTTTGGGGGGGGAGGGTGTGCTTTGATTCTGTAAAAGATTCAGGTAACATGGACACTTCTCTCTTCCTTGAGGGAGATTATATCAGAGTCAATAAAATTAAATATCAGGAAAAACATAGTTGCCAACTAAATATTTTATTCTACATTTCCTTCCTGACTTTCTTAATTTTTAGAATCCTACTTCCAAGGACAAAAAAAAATATCCTAAGAATACCTGCAAATTACAAACCAAATTTTAATATACCCCTCCCCCCATGATTGAGCCAAATACTATTTGTTTTCCCCAAGCCTTCATGTCAGAAACAGTGGATCTGCACTCCAGCCACTTCAGCGTTTACTCCCACCCATAAATATATCGATGATTTAATGCTGTTTTTTGCTGTTAATCTTAGACATTTTTCTTTTGTCATATTAAACTTTTATCCAGTAGAATGGTTGAAGAAAAGTATAAACTTCTCATTCAAACACCAAACATCCTATTGCAATTGGCAGTGAACTGAAATACAAACAGGTACTATATCTCTGTATTTCAGTAAAATCTCAAGTGATTAAAAGTAAATAATAAATTTAATTTCTTCTTGGGGTTCAATCCAAACTGTGCTCTTGTTCTTTCTTCAGATTTTTAAACTGCTGATTTCCCAGCATTAGAGCCTATCTGAATACTTCTACTACATTAAATGTTTAAACCCAGGTGTCTACCACTACCCTGTTGTATGTGTGTTTTTTTGTGTGTGTGTTTTTTAAATTTATTTTATATATATATATATATATATATATATATATATATATATATATATATAAATTATTGATTTTGTACAGAGAGGAAGGGAGAGAGATAGAGTCAGAAACATCAACTAGAGAGAGTCATCGATCAGCTGCCTCTTGCACACCCCCTACTGGGGATATGCCCACAACCAAGGTACATGCCCTTGACCTGAATCGAACCCGGGTCTCTTCAGTCCCCAAGCCAACGCTCTATCCATTGAGCCAAACCGGTCTCGGCTGTGTGTGTTTTTGTAATATAATACATGTTTTTTCAGGAAGGGAGAGTGAGAGAGATAGAAACAGTATTGATGCAAGAGAATCATTGACCAGCTGCCTCCTGCACACCCTCTCCTGGAGATCAACCCTGCAACTGGGACATGCGACCTCCTGGTTCATAGGTCTACACTCAACCACTGAACTACATCAGCCCAGTGAGATTTTCAAGGAGCTATTCCTCCTTTCACTTTTGAAACTGAACACTGTTTTGCTCATACAAAAATATCCTTTTCCTGGGAATAATATTGATGGCCATCTTTTTAGGCATTACAAAAAAACTCAAGGTTAGACTGAAAGAATTGCATTTATCTTGACTGTTGAAGATCTATGCTGCCTCTTGAAGCCAGTATGAGACTGTTTACTTAAATGCCAAAGTTTACTTTTTAAAAAGTAAACACAACTTTCTGTCTTGAACTGAGTCTTTGACTTGCTCTGGAGTTAGACATAAAGAGACCCAGTGGTCTATAGGATAATAAGTGAATGGTATGTCCTTCACCCAGCACCTTTTGGGAAAGAGATTGTATTTGTTTTGCTCTATGTACATATTTACAGTAAGTGATGTAATAGTGGAGAATGGTCTCCATTGGTTTCAAAAAACCAAAATATTTCCTTATTTATATTCAAAATAGATATTTACATTTGTCTCCCTCTTTTCAAAACTACCATTTTTGTGGGGTTTTTTATTTCTTTAAATGTAATAATAGGCTTTTTCCAAGCAACTGTCTTTGCTTTATAATTTAAACTTGTAGCCCTTTTTTATGCCTGAATTTTAGCCTTTTGGGGCTAATTTGCTTCAGTAGCATTTGTGGTTTGGTGTGCACTTGTGTGCTCGACCCGCTAGATCACATGTCTAAACCTCCCACATTAATTTACAGGGGCCTCCCCTTCCCAGACTTCTTGCCAAACTGCACTGAACATTTACACATGATTCTAGTCCAGCCATCGTGGAAAAGCTGAGATTTTACTAAATTCAAAAACACCTGTCCATATTTGTAGTTAGTTCAGAACTCATTAATGTCATGTCAAGAAGTAATATTAATGCCTTTCCTCCTTCCTTTGGCCATTAGGTTTACTTCATGATAATAGTTTGCTCTGTAGCTTGGCTTGGGACATGCAACCTGACTTCAGTTCTGCACCTGTTTTCCAGACCCATTCTCTAGATTAATCTCCTTACATTCTTTGCATGCATAAAGGGATTTCTCAGTAGAGCCGTTTAGAATGTTAAAAGTTCCTTTCAATTATATGTCAATAAAGCTGAAATTTTTAGCAGCTCTTTTTACTCCGTTTGGACATGAGTTCTATCTAGCATTTGTATATGTATGTATTTTCTTAAAAAACACATTGGTCAGGTGTTTTCTAGAGGGCACAAACAGTATGAGTAGGCATGACACACTATCAATAGGAAAATATCATTCTTTCTTAAAAGCTGTTTGATATGAGAATAAAACACTGTGTAAAACAGCCACTTTCTTTTGAGCAGATTAAAGAATGTGCTGATGAACCAGTAGGAAAAGGTTACTTGGTTTCCTGCTTGGTGGATCACAGAGGCAACATCACAGAGTACCAATGTCACCAGTACATCACCAAGATGACGGCCATCATTTTCAGTGATTACCGTCTAATCTGTGGCTTCATGGATGACTGCAAAAATGACATCAACATTCTGAAATGTGGCAGCATTCGGCTTGGAGAAAAGGTATGTACTTACGTACTACACTGGTTTCACCAGAGAGGTCTTAGGAACTTGGGAAATGAAAAGCTTTGTATAACAAGCATGCAAAAAATTTAGGGCTAGAGGTGGCCTTAAAGTTGAAGTCCAGACAGCCCCAAGGTCTAAGGCTCGTTGACCTGTGAATGCATTTTATCTGTTTGTGACAAAAAGTATAGAGAAGTAGGGGAATTAATATCTGCTAAGAGTGGTGTTACCTCCAAAATATTAAAACACTTGCTGGTTCCCTGTAACAATCTCTGGCAAAGCATTTTGTAATCTTGTGGGAATAGTAGTTGGGTTAAGAGATGCTTGAATTCTCAAAACTTTCTCTGCATATACCTTGTTGTTGCCATAAAAATCACTCATCCCCAATCCGTGTAGGTCAGTGGTTGAGCTTTGATCCATGAACCAAGAGGTGACCGGTTTGATTCCTGCTTAGGAGACATGCCCATGTTGCAGGCTCAATCCTCAGTGAGGGTGTGCAGGGGCATCCAACTGATGTTTCTGTCTCATTGATGTTTCTTTCTCTCTGTTCCTCTCCCTTCCTTTCTCTCTAAAAATCAGTAAAAAATTTTAAAGATATCACTCAGAACACCAGTACAAAAGATAATATTTATTTATTTTTAAAAGACAATATTTAAATATTAGAAAAATTTTAAGATATATGAAAGTATTTCTAACTTGTCACAAGAAAGGTACTTGACAAATGTGATGTATTACCTTCTCAGAAGAACTAGTTTTAGTAAAGACAGGTAGGAAAACTACCTAGCTTGTTTCTTCTTCCTTAATGATATCTAATCTTATTTTTGTCCTTATTAGTCTCTTGTCTAGAAGGTCAAAATGGAGGTTTGACCAGTATTTTTCTGAATTTGTTTGCACACAAAAAAATGAAAGAAACTTCTGAAAAGTAACAGATGCCAGTGGGAGAGGTAGTCTGGGGCGGGTATGTCATCAGCTATTATTTGCCACTGTTCATTTCACTCTTCAGGAAATGTTAAGAAAAATAAAATCCATTTGTCTCTTTGCCCCTGTTTGTTAAGTGCACCAGGCCTTGCAGGCTTCTCTCACGGAGGACCGAGGGCATAGTATTGTATGCCAGAGGTTTTAGTGCTGGTTATTGTCTGACTGTCATCAAGTAACCTTTCCTTCATACCAGCACAGGGCTCTGGCGCTTTCACAGGGCACTTGAGTCTATCTTGAGAGCACTGTGAACTTTGCAGGCAGCTAAAAAAGGCCAGGGTTTAATAAAGAAGGCAGACTTTTTCCTGTCCCAGCAGATTCTAGAAATGGCACAAAAGCACTAAGTCACCCTGATAATTCAGGAAACTCCTCTGACGACTTACATTGGGTATTGGAGATTATATCCAGTTTCAACCCTCACTCTTTAATATCTTCACCTTCGTGTTCCAGACACACTGTTCAGGAATCGGTGATGACACTTCTTTATATTTGTGATTAGGTAAGGTGGACCATTACAATTCACCTCTCTTTGTAATAGTTCTTCCCTGTTGACTGCCAAGATAATCACTAGTTAGCTTCCCACTAGCAATCGGAATTGTCAGTACAAAACCTACTTTCAATGTCATGTACGAGTTAAGTCTGCAGTGACTGAAATGATTGCAGAAAATGCTAGAACCCAAAGACATGACAGTGTTTTCAGTTTTGTTAAAATAACAAAAGTTGTGGTAAGGGCCAAAGATGGTGGCATAGATAAACACCTGAACTGTTGCCTTGCACAACAATTTCAAAACTACAACTAAAAGACAAAACTGACATCATCCAGAACCTCAGGAAGGCTGGCTGAGTGGAAATTCTACAACTAGAAGGGAAGAGAAAAGTACACTGAGACTCACAGGAGCTGTGGAAGGCAGAGGTACGGAGGCGCTCTCACATGTGGAGACAGCTGGCAACTGAGTATGTGGCTGTCTTTTTCAAGTGGGAGGGAGACCAAAGCTCCCGACTGCTCTGAACTTTCTAGTTCTGGGTGAGACTCTGGGGACCTAGACTCATACGGAAAGAAACTGGACTGTCTGGCAGTGGGCGAAACTTGAGAGCAGCTTTCTTTCAGAGGTTCTTGCTGCAGTTACCATGGGACACTGAGACCCAGGGGCCTCTTAGGGCAGGGCTGACAGGAAGCCATTGCTGTTTGCTCTGCCCTGAGACTCCGCCCCATTCAAGCAGAGTGCAGAGGCTTTTGCATATGAATGGCCTGGTCCTTTCAAACCTAAACTTACCTAACAAACTACAGCTAAATCTGAGAGACCCCGAACATCCAAAAGAAGGCCCAAGGCCCTGCAGCAGCTTGCACTGCTTCATAGCTGGGCCTCATCTGGGCACCTCCAAAACCCAAACAAAGAAGAGGAATATGCAGATCTCTCTGTAGCTCCTGCTGGGTGGCCTCAGGCAGAGGCTAAATTAGCACCTCCTTGGAGATCCAAGAGCCAGTGTACCCAGGGGTCAGAGTAGGACCATCCACATTACAAATCCTCAGACCCATAAGGGACACAATCAGGGGCAGTCTCAGTGAGCACCAAAGCCCCACTGAAGCAAGTATTGTCTCATAAGGGCATCTCCAGCATAGATGTTCTTCCATTGTAGACACAGCTGATTCTCACAGCCAATTGGCCTGGAGGTCAATTCCTCCCAGTGATACCAACAATAATCAAGGTTTAACTACAACAAGACTGTGCACATAGCCCACAAAGGGGTGCACCAAGAGTGTCCACCTCAGGTAACTGGGGAGGCTGAGCCATGGCCCTATAGGACACCTAGCGCACAAAGCCACCCTATCAACTCAGGGAAGCAGCCAAAATGCGGAGACAAAGAAATAGGTCACAAATGACAGAAATGGAGGAAAGCAAACTATTGGATATAGAGTTCAAAACCACGGTTACAGGGTTTTTCAAGAATTTCCTAGAGAAGGCTGATAAATTTAGGAGACCCTTGAGGATATGAAAAAGGACCAACTAGAAATTAAGCATACACTGACTGAAATTAAAAATAATATACAGAGATCCAACAGCATACTAGAGAATCACAAGAATCAAGTCAAAGATTTAAAATACAAAGAAGCAAAAAACACCCAACCAGAAAAGCAAAAAGAAAAAAGAATCCAAAAATATGAAGATAGTGTAAGGAGCTTCTGGGACAACTTCATGAGTACCAACACCCGAATTATGGGGGTGCCAGAAGAAGAGAGAGAGCAAAATACTGAAAACCTATTTGAAGAAATAATGACAGAAAACTTCCCCCACCTGGTGAAAGAAATAGATTTACAAGTCCAGAAAGCACACTGAACCCCAAACAAAAGGAATCCAAAGAGGACCACACCAAGACACATCATAATTAAAATGCCAAGAGCAGCCAGGACCGGTTTGGCTCAATGGATAGAGCGTCGGCTTGGGGACTGAAAGGTCCCGGGTTCGATTCCGGTCAAGGGCATGTACCTTGGCTGCGGGCATATCCCCAGTAGGGGGTGTGCAAGAGGTGGCTGATCGATGACTCTCTCTCATCGATGTTTCTGACTCTCTATCTCTCTCCCTTCCTCTCTGTACAAAATCAATAAAATATATATTTAAAAAAAAAAAATGCCAAGAGCAAAAGACAAAGACAATATTAAAAGCACCAAGAGAAAAACAGTTACCTACAAGGAAAGCACCCATACAATTGTCAGCTAGATCTCTCAACAAAACTATGTAGGCCAGACAGGAATGGCAAGAAATATTCAAAGTGATGAATAGCAAGAACCTACAACCAAGATTACTCTACCCAGCAAAGCTATCATTCAGAATTGAAGGGTAGATAAAGAGCTTCACAGATAAGAAAAAGCTAAAAGAGTTCATCACCACCAAACCACTATAATATGAAATGCTGAAAGGTATTCTTTAAGAAGAGGAAGAGCCAGAACCGGTTTGGCTCAGTGGATAGAACGTCGGCCTGCGGACTGAGGAGTCCCGGGTTCGATTCTGATCAAGGGCATGTACATTGGTTGCAGGCACATCCCCAGTGCGGGGTGTGCAGGAGGCAGCTGATCAATGATTCTCTCTCATCGATGTTTCTAACTCTCTCTCTCCCTTCCTCTGTCAAAAATCAGTAAAATATTTTTTTTAAAAAAAGAGGAAGAAGAAAAAGGTAAAGATAAAAATCATGAACAACAAATATTTATCTATCAACAAGTGAATCTAAAAGTCAAGTGAATTAAAAATCTGACAAACAGAATAAACTGATGAACGTAATAGAATCGGGCATAGAAAGAGTGGACTGACAATTCTGGGGAAAAGGGGAGTGGGTGGTGTGGGAAGAGACTGAACAAAAAGGGTATACCTATGGATGAAGACTGTGTGGAGGCGGGGAGGTAAGGACAGAAGGTGGGTGGAAACCGGGTGGAGGGGAGCTATGAGGAGGGGGAGGGAGAGGAACAATTGTAATAATCTGAACAATAAAGATTTGTTTTTAAAAGTATGTAACAAAAGATATTTCTATGAACTATCAACATGCATATTTTGGTTAGTTTTATTTTTTGCTATACCTACCAGTTAGGTGAATTTCTGTTTATACCAGTCACCCTAACTCTGGCATCAAAAACTTGCTTGTATTTTGGGGACAGTAAGATGACTCATACCTACCCTTTTGAAAACATGTTCCTTCCTATATAATCCACTCCGGTGCTACAGCCAAATTTTAAAAAGGAGGCATGTGCTCAGTCCTTTTTTGCCTTTTCTAACTATAGTTTACTTCTGTGTAGCTGATTATTTAGATATGAAAATTATCCTGGAAAATTAATGAGTCAGTTTCTGACCACAGAAGAGAACAGAACAGGCTCATCAATGTCAAATTTGTTGCCACTGAAGCTTGGAAAGTCCTCTGTGACTGGCTTTGAACTGACCTGCTCTAAAAGTCAGAGAAAGGGTCACAGATAACCTGTTTGCACCTTTCTTTGTAGGAACATAAATGCCATGATTTCAAAATTGTGATTTTTTAAAAATGTTAATATATATAAAATTTAGAACAAAGACTATAAAGATATTTAGAATTTTCTAAATAAATATTGTAAAAATGGAAGTACAGCTCTCTAAAAGTAAAGTGTAGTAAATGATTTCCATTGTCTGCAGAGAAAATAGAATGTGGCATTGCATACAGGAACTTAATATAGACATGTGCCACATTATTACTACTTTTATACTTTTTACTCAGTAATTGAACATTCCCTGCTTTTAACCAATTACCTTCAATAATTCAGACATTCTTTTCCTCTTTGGGTAGTGATGGAGATCTCAAAAGACACCAGAAACATTGAAATAGAGAATTTATAGCAGAGGTGAAAGCTGAGTTCTTGCCTGCTTTTTCTTTTTAATCCTCACCCAAGGAAATGTTTCTGTTGATTTTAGAGAGGGAGAGGGAGAGGGAGGGGAAGAGAGAGCCTTACTCCAGATTTCTGGGGTTTATGTTCATTTTTCTCTCTATTGTCATCTTTTTTTTTTCTTGTCTCTAAGAGTTTTAACTGTTAAGAATTAATCTCCAAAAATCTTTTTTATCATCCCAGGTTTGTAAGCATTAGGTAGAATCATACAGGAAGTTCTATAGAACCCCAAGGTCTTAATTAGGCACCTTACATTCTGCAATTCGGATGAGTTGATAACCCTCTAAGCTGTTTGCTCATCTGCAAAATAGATACACCACTCTTATCCCCGCTTCATTGGCGTGTTAGGAGAGAACATGAACATTTTCATGTAGCTTCTTGGAACAAACTCTATCAAACAAAATAGAAAAAGTGCTATACTTTTGTTGTTGTTGTTGAATTGAAATTTTACTTAAAGTAGATGTTTCCCTATCTGGTTTAAGGAGTCTTTTTATTATATACAGATGATTTCATAGACCTGGTATCTTACCATAACTAGATTTTATGTGTGTGAATGTGTAAATAAGTGGTAACACTGTTTTTCTTCTGCTTTGATTTACTGTATTAATGGTTATACCTCTCAAGTTATTGAAGCATATCTTTTGAGTATAGAAAATTAGGATACTTGAATAGAAAATATTCAGGGGAAGTTTCTCATATTTTGAATGAATGAACGCTTGTGGATGCAATGTACAATTAAAGGTAATGGATGGCTTTAAGAAAGCTCTCAAAAGCAGTTTGTATAAAGGATAGTAATCTTGTTAAAATTGCAGTAAGGTAATTTCAAAATATGGAAGTGAATATGCAGGTTGTATATTTTTGCGTCTTTGTGAGCATTGTAGAATAGAAAAAAGGAGAAACAGGGTCTCTAATATATTTTTTCATTGGACTCTGTGACTTGTTTTCATAACTTGACTAAAAGCACTATTACTTGGGAAATACCCTTCAGAGATAAATGAACAGCGATTTCTGCAATGTTATTTCAGTATGGACATCAGCTATGATCAAACATTGGGCTAATGTGATTCTTTTAAATATTTCTGACATTTTAAACTTTAAAAACTGAGGTTTCTATTTCCAGTGCTAACTGAACTATACTTAACTTCCCAGGACCTCTGTTTCCATTTGTACCATGCAAGTATTACACTCTAACCAAAGATTATTGAGGACATTTTCTATAATATGTGGTTGGTTCCCACCTGATTTCTCAATAGAACATCAATAAGCTAACTATATGTTCAAGTGTGTTGTTGTTTTTAACCAAATGATGTGTATTTGAAAGTTATTGTGGTGAGAGTTTTAAAATGTTAGTATCCTCACTATTTTAGGATGCGCACTCACAAGGTGAAGTGGTATCATGTTTGGAGAAAGGCCTGGTGAAAGAAGCAGAAGAAGGAGATCCCAAGGTTCAAGTCTCTGAAGTCTGCAAGAAAGCCATTCTCCGTGTGGCTGAGCTGTCCTCCGATGACTTTCATTTAGATCGGCATTTATACTTTGCTTGCCGAGATGATCGGGAGCGTTTTTGTGAAAATGTAAGTCAGTTCAGAAGCTGTTCTCTTCTTCCTTTTCTTTTTAAATATTTTAAAATACTCTACTCCAGGAAACAAAAACTTAACACAAACATCACATGTAGAAAAGCTACTAAAACTGGAAAGTGGAGTTGGCCTCAGAATAACTGAAAATGACGCTGGATGCTCACCTTTGATTTAACATCCAGTTAACATTTGGCTTCTGACAATCTCCACACTTATTTTTTCTACTTTATCTAACTTCTCACCAGTTCTTGGGAATCTTATTTTATCTATAGGAATCCTGGTTTACTAGGGAATCCCATTCACCTCTATTCCATGACTAAAACTTTGCCATATTACGTGTTTATATTTTTGGCCAAGATTTAAAAACAACAACAACAAACAAAAAAACACTCAGGTGACTAACTGTTAAAACCAAATCCCTGATTACTACCCACAGACCCTAAGGAACAACTTTCTAACACTGAAATAGAAGAATCTCCATCTTTACTTGGGAGAACTGAGCATGACTTGTGTATATTCCCACTCTGCCTGCTGTTTTAATATAACAGCTTTCACCATCAAAGCCATTAATTGTAAGAGTTTTATGTTGTAAAAAGGAAGGCTCATTGCCACTTCTCTTGATTCCTTAATTAACAGTATATCTGGGACTAAATGACAATAGTCAAGACATATAGGAAACAAATTTTTATCTTTACTGCAGGCACTATTTTCTTTCAAATGCTACTAAATTTTATAAATGGCTGAGCCATTTGTTCATATGTACTCACATTGTATTAATTTAACAAAGTTCTATATAGGATTATGGATACTGCCTAGCGTAACTACTTATCTAATGATCATTATAATATTGGATATGTTTCACCTTGTAGACACAAGCTGGTGAAGGCAGAGTTTATAAGTGCCTCTTCAACCATAAATTTGAAGAATCCATGAGTGAAAAGGTAAGTATTATTTTAAAACAGACCATTATTTTATTAATTTCTTTACACACACACACACACACACACACACACACACACACACGAGGCCTGATGCACAAAATCCATGCAAGAGTAGGCCTTCCTTTCCCTGGCTGTCAGCACTGGCTTCCCTCCTGCTCCCAGGACCCAGGCTTCCCTCGCAGGGGGAGGCCCTGCCCACCCACCACAGCCTGCCAGTGGCTTGGGCTTCCCTCTGTGGGGCGATCATGGGACAGTGGCCAGGCCCCCGACCAATTGCATCGCACCCACTTTGGCTGGCCTGGCACCAGTGGTTGTCATAGCGTGGTCCTGGATGGTCGTTCCACTGTTGGGCCATTTGGTCGATTTTCATATTAGGCTTTTATTATATAGGATATTCTTTTTATTGATATCAGAGAGGAAGGGAGGTGGGGGGAGAGAGAGAGACATGAATGATGAGGGAGAATCATTGATTGGCTTCCTGCACCCCCTGCAATTCGGGCATGTGCTCTTGATGGAAATCAAACCCGGGACCTTTCAGTCTGCAGGCAGACGTTCTATCCATTGAACCAAACTAGCTAGGGCTTATTCATTTCTTAAAAACTTTCTCACATCATCTCAAATAATATTCTTACAAACCAATACCAAAATAAATGATTGGTAAAGCGAATCCTTTTCAGAGGCAAGACACTTGGCTTTTAGTAGGGAACCAAAGCATATTTTGCTTAAGCCAAGAAAATGAAGCTTTATTTGTGATATCTGAACATTGGGAAGCCAATTTGGAATCAGTTTGGGGAGTAAAATTGAAAAAAAATTTTTTTTAAGGGTTTTTTTTTTTTTTTCTTTTTCGTTTTTTCGTGATTTTTTTTAGAGAGGCAGATATAGAAACATTGATGTGAGAACAAAACATCAATTGGCTGCTTCCTGCACCTTTCCTATTGGGAACTGAGCCCAAAACCTAGGTATGTGCCCTAACTAGGAATTGAACCAGCAACCCTCTGGAGCATGTGACAATGCCCAACCAACTGAGCCCCATTAGTCAGGGCAAAATGGAGAATTTTATATCAGAATTACACTGAAGTCAGTTCTACATACTTAGGAAGTTTAGACTAACCAAACCATTGTGCTTCATAGGTAATTGGCTATTTAATTTTTTAGCAGATGTTTCATTAAGCATTCTCATTACTCTTAGTATTCTGTACCTGGATGAATGCAAAAAAAATTTATTACCTTTAAAAGTAATTATTATTTTTAATCCTGTCATTTTCTTTTCTGTGCAGCTGAAGAAATGATTTTCATTTTCAGTTCCTTTGCTATTGAGTAATTATATTTAAAAAGCATAGGCCCAGCAGGCGTGGCTCAGTGATTGAGCAATGACCTATGAACCTGGAGTTCGTGGTTCAATTTCCAATCAGGGTGCATGCTCAATCCCCAGTTGGGGACTTGCAGGATCAATCAATGACTCTTTCTCATCATTCATGTTTCTATCTCTCCCTCCCTCTTCCTCTCTGAAACCAATAAAAAAAAATATTAAAAAATAATAATAATAAATAAAAAGTATAGAATCGAACTTCTAAAATATTATGTTAGTTTCTACTTTGATTCTGGTGAAATTTTCTGTAGGAATATTGTTAAATAGGAAAAGAATACTTTTTCAAGATCTTGTATTAGAATCTACCAAATACGTATGTGTTTAGGACAACTACTACAGCAACCATCGGCAGTTCACTGTAGAAATCTAGGGGTCCCCACCCATTTACCTTTGCCTCTTGTCACACGAGTTTAGCATGCTTGTGTTACGTTTTAACCAAGCTTAAAGAGCATCTTGGTAACAACTGCTGTTGTTGACATGACAAGTGTCCATGAGAGAGACATGGGAACAGCTGAACCACCTGAGCAGGCTTACAACTCTCTTGCTGCCTTCTTTATTCAGTGTCGAGAAGCACTAACAACCCGCCAGAAGCTGATTGCCCAAGATTACAAGGTCAGTTATTCATTGGCCAAGTCCTGTAAGAGTGACTTAAAAAAATTCCGGTGCAACGTGGAAAACCTTCCCCGGTCCCGGGAAGCCAGGCTGTCCTACCTTCTGATGTGTCTGGAGTCAGCTGTGCATAGAGGTGAGAGTTTCTTTCTTTTTGTCCTTTATATTCCTTCCTGGATTTACATTTTTAAAGCTTCGTGTACTGTTACTTTTCACCTATATTTGCTCTTTTGAGTACAGCTGTGCCTTGTTATTTGAGAGTCTTTTTTTAGGAATTGAAGGGTTGATATCCCTACACCTTGTTGAAGGCCCTTCCCCTTAGCTCAGTAACCTCCAATTTTGTTTTTCTTTATATCTCGGCTTTCTTTCTTTTTTTTCTTTTACAAGGTAAAGAATATTTCTCAAATCCAAATATTTTCATATTTTAAAATACTTAAAGGGTGTGGCAAATATAGGTTTACGGTTGTTCATATGTAAAATTAATGCAATAATTAATAAATAAGCCCTGGCCGGTGTGGCACAGTTGGTTGGTGCACCATACACCAAAAGCTTGCCAGGTAGATTCCCAGTCAGAGCACACATCCAGCTTGCTTGTTCAATCCCCCATTGGGGTGCACATGGGAGGCAACCAATTGAAGTTTCTCTTTCACATTGGTATTTCTCCCTCTCTTTCGCTCTCCCTTACTTCCTCTCTGAAATCAATTAACATATCCTCAGGTGAGAATTAAAAAATAATATAAATAAATAAATAACAATACAAAATGAACTCTGTGTTTTGCATACTTACAACTGTAAACTTACTTTTGCCACACCCAGAACTGTACCACATTTTTAGGACAGAGTATAATGATTTAGCAGATGAGCTTGGGTCAGAGAAAGATAACTTCAAGTTATGGCTCTATCACCAAACTAACTGGCTAGGTGTCCATTGTTTCTATTTTTTAATTTCTCTAAACCTCATTTTTTTTATCTATAAAAAAATAATATTACCTATGTTGAGGAGTTCATATGAGGATTGAATGAGGCTATTTGGCATAGCACTTAGTATACAATAAGTGATAGGTAATGTTGTTGTTATTATTATAACAGTGATGATGTTAAGAAATTAAAAGATGAAAGGATTATCCCACCAAGCCAGGGTTGTCTTTAATATTAACTGTAGACCACAAAAATGAAATTGCTACCTCTCATTGAATAAATGGTGCTGGAAGAGTTGGTTAGTGATTAAAAAGTTATGTGGGGGGGAAATAAGTCATTAAAGAAAACTCTGAACTTTTTGGTAAATTTTTTTCATATCTGGATGTTTGAAAGCAATGAAATAGCAACTAGAGGCAATGTATGGTCTTGGACTTAATACCAAACAAAGGGCATTTTGGAGATAACTGGGGAATATTGATTATGGCCTGCATATTAGGTGAATCCTAAAATGAACAGTAGAGATTATTGACTAGTAAAGGCATATTATAAAACAGTATGCATAATGTAATCTAATTTTGGTATTTGAAAAATAGAGAGTTAATGTCCTTAAACTGCAAATTGACAAGAAAACAAAAAAGACTCAGAGGATATGAACAGATAATTCAGAGAAGTTATACAGATTGTTAAAAGAAAAAGAAAAAAGACTGATCATATTGACAAAGATTAAAAAAAACTGGGACTATTGTACATTGCTGATGGGAATTAAAAGTGGTATAACCACTTGGGAAAATAGTTTGCCGGTTTCTTAAGAAGTTAAACGTACATCTCCCATATGACCCAGCCTTGTAACTTCTAGGTATTTGCCCAAGACATGAAAGCATATGTCCATGTAAACTCTTACACATGAATACTAATTATAACTCTATATGTAATAGCCCCAAAGTGGAAATAACCCAGGTGTTCATCAGTAATTGAAAGGGATAAACAAATTGTAGCGTATCTATATCATTGAATAATATTACTTAGCAATAAAAAGGAATGAAGTGTCAATACATGGATAAATCTTAAAATAGTTATGCTGAGTAGAAGTCAAACAAAAAAGAGTCCATATGATATGGTTCTATTTATATAGACTTCTAAAAATTACAAAATAGTAAACTAATCTATAGTCACAGAAAGCAAATCACTGGTTGGCTGCGGTTGGGGTTGGAGTTGGGGTTGGGGGTGTGGAGAGGAAAGGGAGGGAGGGATTACAAGAGAGCATAGGGAAACTTTTGGAGTTGATAGGTGTGATCAGTATCTTAATTGTGGTGATTGTTTCACCAATGTATATGTATATGAAACTTACCCAGTTGTATACTTTAAAAGTATAGTTTCTTATATGTCAGCTATACCTCAATAAAGCTGTGTTTTAAAACATTATTTTAAGTTTTCCCAGTTGGCATTTATAGCTGAAGGAAGGTGGGAAGCTACAGTGAATAATTTAAATGGTAGTCTCCACAATCTTTTACTGTGGGCCAATAGAGATTATTCTTGGCTTTTGTTTTTACCCAAATAGTTATCTTGTTGATAAGACTTTCATTGATGAAACATTTGCATGGTTAGTTTAGTAGTATAAAATCTGTATAATGCAGAACACTGACAAGATAAACCCTAGTCTCTGGAGTCTTAAACTCATTTTATGCTGATAAAGTTTTTGCTAAATTCTAAGCTTTTCAGTCTAGATAATAATGTGACTGGTATATTCTGGGGGGAAACGTGTACTTTCATATGTGGTGATACTTGATTCTAACGCCACCATAATGTTATGACTTAAATCCTAACTTAGGGCGACAAGTGAGCAGTGAGTGCCAGGGAGAGATGTTGGATTACCGCCGCATGTTGATGGAAGACTTCTCTTTGAGCCCTGAAATCATCCTGAGCTGTCGGGGGGAGATCGAGCACCATTGTTCTGGATTACATCGAAAAGGCCGAACCCTCCACTGTCTGATGAAAGTAGTTCGAGGGGAGAAAGGGAATCTTGGAATCAACTGCCAGCAGGCGGTAAGGAACATTTTCTACTGCCATTTTGAATGTCACATTTTATCGGCTGAGGCGCCTCTTTCTGACACTGTCCCAACTGTATCTGGATCATTTATGATATCACAGTGAATATCAGGTACTAAGAAGCAGACATGGAATATTTTCTCTCCAGGAATATCATAGTAAGAATGTGGATTTTGCTGCAGAGCAGAAGTTTGAGCTCATTTATAATAATAAAAATATAATATACTAATTAGACCAGAAGTCCTTCCAGACAAAGCTGGGGCTGTGAGGGAGGGAGGCCTGGGTCCTGGATGCCGGAGAAAAGCTGGTGCCAAAGCCAGTGCTGGCAGCTAGGGGAAAGGAGGTCTACTCTTGCACCAATTTCGTGCATCTGGCCTCTAGTAATCAATAAAAAGAGCTATATACTTAAAGGAATAGATAGAATGCATTGTTTGCTAGAATTTTTTTTAAAAATATATATTTTATTGGTTTTTTACAGAGCAGAAGAGAGAGGGATAGAGAGTTATAAACATCAATGAGAGAGAATCATCGATCAGCTGCCTCTTGCACACCCCCTACTGGGAATGTACCCGCAACCAAGGTACATGCCCTTAACCGGAATCGAACCTGGGACCTCTCAGTCCCCAGGCCGATGCTCTATCCACTGAAACAAACCGATTTCGGCATGCTAGAATTTTTTTTAAGGTAACTTGCTAGATTGGATTGACTAAACTCATAATCAGGGCAAATCAACCTCTAGTACATCAGCAAAGGTGCTCCACCAAAAGGGAATTTTCCTGTCTCAGTGTGTCTGATTCAGTTGAGGCTAAAAGAGATCTGAAATGAATTGGGGTTTTCTGTTTCTTTTTATTGCTGATGTTCAAGTGATGAATTCCAGGATCAAGAAAGCATGTTGTTTTCAAATTATACTCTTTTCTGGTTAGACTAAGGCAGTGGTCAGCAAACATGCAACTCTTTGACACCTTCAACAAAATACCACGTGCGGGCACGCACATACAGTGCGATTGAAACTTCGTGGCCCATGCGCAGAAGTCGATTTTAGCTCTCAAAAGAAATTTCAATTGTTGTGCTGTTAATATTTGGCTCTGTTGACTAATGAGTTTGCAGACCACTGGACTAGGGCAACTGTATGTAGAAGAACCGTTCTTTTCTGATTCTTGGTCAGGGCACATCTAAGAATCAATCAATGAGCCTTAGCTGGTTTGGCTCAGTGGAAAGAGCACTGGCCTGTGGACTGAAAGGTCCCCAGTTTGATTCCGGGGACCTTTCAAGCACATATTGCCCGGGTTGCGGGCTCAATCCTAGTGGGGGCGTGCAGGAGACAGCCCTTCAATGATTCTCATCATTGATGTTTCTATCTTCCCCTGGCCTCTCTCTTACTCTCTGAAATCAATAAAAATATATATTTTTAAAACCATCCAATGTATGCATAAATAAGTGGGACGACCAATTGATGTTTCTCTTTCTAAAATTAATTTAAAAAAACTTAAAATAATAATATAGTTAAAAAATATAGATACAGTGCCTCAGTTTCTATTTAATTAAATTAGAAAGTTGAAGCTTTGTCCTCAGAGGAACTTTGAAAACCCATAATTTATTAATCTTTTATTTTGTTGTTTGCACTTCTTTTAAATATATTTTATTGATTTTTTTTTTTTTTTTTTTACAGAGAGTAAGGGAGAGGGATAGAGAGTAAGAAACATCAATGAGAGAGAAACATCGACCAGGTTTCTCCTGCACACACCCTACCAGGGATGTGCCTGCAACCAACATACATGCCCCTGACGGGTATCGAACCTGGGACCTCTCAGTCCGCATACCGACACTCAGTCCACTGAGCCAAACCCGTTTTGGCTGTTTGCACTTTTATTAAAAATTGAATACTACTTGAATTTTATTTTTCTGCTAATCATGTAAAATCACAATTTTTAGTTCAAAATGCCAAATTTTCCATAGAATTTTGATTTGGAATAAAATTTCACCTTCGCTCCTATTACCATGATCCAGAGTAGACTGTAATTATGCCTCCCATGGTGGGAAAAATAGACAAATGTAGTCTCTTCCCCAAAACACCAAGCCTAGAGACGGAAAGCTTCTGGATATAGTTCCTCAGGAGCAGTCCTTGCTGTGATTGTCCGAGGAAAGAAACCTCTGTGACAACGTATGTGCCTGAGCCCCAGACCAAGAATTGATCAAGACACCCTATATTTGCATTTTATCCTTACTGCTGCATGGGAAGAGGAGGAGGTGCTTAGGAATAATCTTACATATTCTTTACTGAGGTGTACAGAAAAAAGAAAATAAGTTGGTTAGACTTTATTTAGAACCATCTAGCTAACCTCTAGGGATTTTTGAAATTTAGCTTATTGAAAGAGCTAGTGACTCAACAACCTGGAGGATAAATAAGCACCGCCTGCCTCTTCCTTGTGCCCAGAATAAAAGTGCTTTCCAAACCTAGCGCTCAAGCCTTCAATAGTGAGTTATGTGGCTTTGCCCACATTAAGTTTAGCCAAGTGGGAAACAGACATAAAAACTTGGGTTTTTATGAACTCGTGGTTTTTAGGAATTGAAGGAAAAGGAATAATTCTTTGTTTTTCCACTACATTATCCATCCTCAGTCATAGGGAGGAATGCTTTGAAGTAGTATATTTTGGGTGGATTTCCTTCTTTTTCTAAGTTTTCTTCCCTGATACAGTAGACTTTCATGCCTGACTGTGGTTGACCATTGATTTTTCCCTATTTGCCTGGCTGTGCTTTGATTTAGTGATCTCTTAACAAATAGTAAACTATGAAGCATAAAAGCAAGTGTTACCTTAATGAGTACATACTTTGCCAAATGCACCATAAGTATGAACTTACTAAAATCTCTGTGGTTATGGTTGAATGAGCCTGGGCCCAGTCTTTCCCAGGCCAAAGGTGACTGTCCAGTCTAATCTCTAGACTAATCATTTCCCAGAAGCACTTCCCCAGGCTTTTCCTAAACAATCAGGTGCTGGAGTAGATGTGTAATCATGTAGCAGTTTACATTCTTAGCGTTAATTTCCCACACTGTTGTCACTGCATTCCAGAGTGACAGTGATCCCCTGTGTCCTTAGCCTACCAGAGTCTGTAGAGCACTCATTGCCTCCTTTTAGTCGCTGCAATCTGGTGCATTCATTGTGACTTCTCCAAAACGCCCGTCAGTCATGAGTCATGGATATTTAACTAATACAGTTCTTGCAGAGACTTTCAGATTCCCATGATGCTTATAATTTCCCTCAGAAAAAAAGATATATTTATTCTTTGTCAACAAATGTCATTACTAAAATCGATAATCCTTTTACAGTAATCTTCCTACCAACTAACCACAGCATTTTGCAGCTTTTCTAAAATGCCACCAAGAATTGGTATAAATAACTTTAATCCCAGAATACTGGAAATCTTTCATATACCTCTCATCTTGAATGTTGACTTATTTTAGAATAGATGGACTGGGGTTTTCTTTGTTCATTTCCTTTTGTTCTGTGTTCTGATCAATATGTGATGGGATCAGTACTTTCCTAGAGACCCTGTGGTATTGTAGGTCAAATGCATGGGAATCAGAGAAAGCTCTTAAGGAGAAAGGCTAAATTTGTGACACAAAAGGGATCCAGGTCTTCAACTTGGAAAAAAAAGGAACTCCAACCAGGATAATAGTTTTCAGATGTGCTCTCTGTTATTCAAGATTCCCACCCCAAAACACCATCTGCTACCCATCTGTAGTAATAATGATCTTTTATATCGGTCAAATGCTTGCAGCTTATATAACATTCGATATATTCTTATAATACTCTGCAGTTAAATAAACTGAAACTTAAAGGTTAATCAAATGCCCACGTTCTCAACACTAATATTTGACAGAGCCAGAGCTATTAATAGAAATCAGGTCTCTGTTCCTTAATTTAGAACTGTTTCCTCTGTACCCCAACTGCTTTTTCCTCAAAGAGAGGGGAGAAATCCAGGGCACATCTCATACTTTTGCTTTATTTCATGATTAAGCATGGACTAAGCAAAAGTAAATGTTAAAAACTATACTCTCATTTTCAATTGCATAATGACAAATATTTTTCTGTTTACTTATTAGCTCTGGATTATCCCTTGGTTATATAAAAGAGAGTTGAGGAAAAATAAGTGTCATATACTTTTTTTTGTAATGAATATTTCTTACAAGCTAAATGAATCTCACATCTATCCTATATAATAAAAAGCCATAAGCATAATGACCAGAATGACTGCTCAACCAGTTGTCACGAGGTGCATTGATCACTTCTCAGTGCCCCCTTTCTCACCCCCCACCCCCCACCCCAAAGCAGTGGCTCATGGCAGCGGGCGGGCAGTGAGCTATGCATGTGTGATTTCATGCGCTGGACCTCTAGTCTTTATTAAAGCAGAATACGCTTGTTGAAATGCTGGTATCTTTGCAGCAAAATTTAAATTTTAGATTCTTAGTACCAAAGTAGGTTTCTAACTGGAAATTATTTACTCTTCTCCACTCAATTCTTGCTTGGCCCCTAAGTCAGATTTAGTCATCTGATTAATACAGAGGCAGATGTAAAGGAAGGGTAGCCTTTATATTGTAAAGACCATTTGTTTTGCAAATGTCCATTGATGATTCAGACTGGTAGGCAAGTAGTCCTCACCACGGCTTGAACAGGAAAACTCCATCAGCAGGTGGAGAAGCCAGTTGGAAGGTATTGGGCAAGAGCTCTCCTCCGTGGCCAGTGACCCTTGTAGTACCTTGTGAAATGCCAGACTTGGTAACTGATTGTAAGAAGACGGAGCATTGCTCTCCCCTGATGTGTAACTGATTTACTTTCTTCTTTTTATTTTTTTTTTAATCCAGCTTCAAACACTGATTCAGGAGACTGACCCTGGTGCAGATTACCGCATTGATAGAGCTCTGAATGAAGCTTGTGAATCTGTCATACAGACGGCCTGCAAACACATACGACCCGGAGACCCAATGTAGGTTGTCTGGTTGGTGGTGTCTATCCATGCTGTATTTTACTTGGCAGTGTAGCACAGGGAACATCCCCTCCGCATCACAACTGGAATTTGTTAAACAGTGACACATACCAACCTTTGTTAAAACTAGTATGGGAATTGAGGCATCAGCTCTGCCTCATCTGTGATGTAGAGGCCCCTAGACCCAGCATTGTGATATTGTTGACAAGGACTGAGCATAGGTTAGGTCACTGCATAATTCCATTTCACGGTCAAATAAAAATGAGAGAGAGAAAATCTCGGGCTAAAGTGACACATGCTTTGACTCTGTATTTTTTCATCCTGTTTGTATATTGGGTCATATATATTGGCTAGTTGATCACCATCAGAGAGTAATTAATTTTCATTGAAATATAAAACAAAATGTGGAGGTTGGATAAGGGACTCATGGGCAAAATGAACTCTAAAGTTATATACAAGACCTAGGAAAGCTGTAAAATTGTATACTGAAATATTTAAATCATATGCATTCGTTTTCTTCCATATGATATGCAAAGAGCTCTTAAAAGCAGGTTGCAAGTAAGAATAGTTTTCCCATTGTAAAAAAAAAACACCCCTTTATACCCAACAGTAAAATGAATGTAGACCTGTTGTCATTGTTCTGCTATGCATGCACTCCTGCTGCTCATGCTGTGGGAGGGGATTAAAACAAGATAATCTTCCGTAAAGCTTTTTGTGTGGTTGGAGAAGACAGACAAACACACTTACGGCTAATAAGCATATTTACCAATATAAAAATTATTGCATTAACTATAAAGGGGACAAGGAGAGGGAGAAGTAGTAAACGGTTGCAGATTAAAAGAGATTTAATGTACTATCAAAATCCAATGTCTGGACCTTTTCTGCATCCTGATTTGAATGAACATGTAAAAAGAAATGAAATAATTGGACATTTAAAAAAATTAATTTATTTTGATAGGTAATGATATTACGTTCTCATTATAGAGATACATGCTAAAGTACTTACAATGGAATGATTTGCTTCAAAATATCAGCAAGGGGGTACAGTTAAAACAACCTGGGCCATAGGAAGATAAAGCTATGCAAAAGAAAGGTGTGTATATTGGAAAGCGTTCATGATAAACAGTTAAAAATAAAGCAGCTGCACAGGATCTTGTGCAAGCTGAGTCCTAAGTGCTAAGTGACTCTCAAGCTGATAGAAGGCTTAATCTCTGTCAGGGCGAGTAAGTGCCCGCTGGCCCTAGGAAATGGCAGAATGGCTTTTTCTACAGACCAAGGGACTACTAATGTGAAAATACTGCACATATTGTCGGAACTCTTCTGTCGTGTTACAATTTCACCCCTGTTTTATGCCCAGGATCCTCTCATGCCTGATGGAACATTTATACACAGAGAAAATGGTAGAAGACTGTGAACACCGTCTGTTAGAGCTACAGTATTTTATCTCCCGAGATTGGAAGTGAGTATTTTGAAACCATTCACTGCTACTTTGTGTTTTGTTATTTTTAATACATTTTTATTGATTTCAGGGAGGAAGGGAGCAGGAGAGAGATATAGAAACATCAGTGATGAGAGAGAATCATTGATCAGCTGTCTCCTGTAGGCCCCACATGGGATTGAGCCTGTGCTCTGATCGAGAATCAAACCATGACCTCCTGGTTTATAGGTTGACACTCAACCACTGAGCCATGCTGGCTGGGTTTCACTGCATCTTGAGAAGTCAGGATCAAATGTTTTGATACCACAGATATCATCTATCTAGAGAGAACTTGGGCACCTTTGGGGCAGCGGAAACGTCTTCAAATATGTTTCTAAAAAGACAGTAGTAGCACTTTTATTTTTATTGATTTGTACCGGGCATGGGAATTTGCTTTTATTTCTTTAACTATTCAAAGTTATTGAATTTCTTCTATCTTAAGAGGCTCTTATCAATAAGTAACAACTTGATTCTCCTCTGTTAGCCAAAAAATAGGGGGAGGAGATGAGATAGAAGAAGGATCTGCTATTACCATTAGAATCACTGTAATTTACTGGCTGCAGTTCCCTCCTCTCTCGAGGTCTTATTCTCCCTTCCTACCTCCAAAGCAGCCAGTAGGATCAGGCTGCTCCTGCTTCCCACATTTAGCTGCTTCCTGATCCAGTTGTTTAAGTCACTGTACTTTGGTCATTAACTTTTTCTGGGTATTAATAGATGCTTTACTCACATGATTTACTAGAATGATTACTTGAAAATTCTGTGTTTCTGTTTCTGTTTCCTAAAATTTGCTCTGGAAAAGACTACAGAAAGCTGGATGGGAATTTCCTTGTACTTACTCAGGCCATCTAAACTGAAAGAGCAGAGTTTACTGAGTTTAGTACCTTAACAAAATCATGTTTTTTCCTCTTGTGATTCCTTCAGCCGTGATCAAAAGATGCTTCACAGTCATATAAAAGCTGCTCATTAAATATTATTAGCCTTTTTCCTTCCATTAAGTTGCACTCCTTCAAAAATTGATTTTATGACGTGGACAGAATTAAGCATTCATTGATCTCAGTCAGAGAAGCAGCAGGCTCATTGCCTAACGTACCGTCTCCAGAGTCAACATTAAATATAAAGTTTTTTTTTTTAATTGATAAGCATATTCAGGTAAACTAAAATTGTATTACCTTGCATAGGAAATAGAAGAGGAACAATTTTACTAGAAAGGAAGCTGAAAGAGAGATTCTGTTTATCTTGTCATTTCCTGCTCTTAGCAAATCTAGTGTATCAGGTAGGATTGAACTTCATATATGCTTAGAAAAAAGTATTGAGTAAAAAGTTGTGGATTGCCTGCTGATAGCTACAACCCTTATTTTCTCATTTTAGCCAGGGCATGTTAGTGCTGAATCTGTTACTGAAATGTAGTGTGCCTTACATAGCCAAGATAACCTCTTTGAGATAGAACTTAAGTCTTCTGTACTAAGGTTAACAAACTTCTGCAGATTGACCACTGTATGTTCACAAAGAACAAGTTCAAGAATATACTTTTGCTTACCTGCTGTCTCTGCTACCCTGGAGATGATTATTAAAATTATTGTTTTTTAAATCCTCGCCCAAGGATATGTTTTTATTAATTTCAGAGAGTAAATAAGATAGAGAGACATTGATCAGTTGCCTCCCATATGCACCCCAGCCAAGATCAAACCTGCAACCTTTCAGTGTATGGGACAATCCTCCAATCTACTGAGCCACCCGGCCAGGGCTGGAGGTGATTATTAATGAGTAGACAAGCACATTGTAAATGCCTGGGCATATGTTAGAAGGAAGGGTATAGTAAGAGTGGTTATCTTTTAACTCATCTTTATAGGCTGGACCCTGTCTTATACCGCAAGTGCCAGGGAGATGCATCTCGTCTCTGCCACACCCACGGCTGGAACGAAACCAGTGAATTTATGCCTCCCGGAGCTGTGTTCTCTTGTCTGTACAGACATGCCTACCGCACGGAGGAGCAGGGCAGGAGGGTATGCGTCACAGTTGACTTCATTTCTCCTTATTGTCATTTGTTTTTTCATCAGTTTGCTATACATTGTTCTGGTTTCTGGCATCCTAGGAAAACTTCATTATTATTGTATTATTGTATCTGGGGGGAGGGTCGCTGCACTACAAAAGCTTATTCACTCAGTGAGTGCACACAGAGTGTCCTACCAGCTTCTTTCGGCCTGAGGTTATGTTTTAACAAAGAGAGTCAGGATATTTCCAGTTTTTTCTTTACTGAAATCTAAATCACAAATACACACTTAAGTTCTGCTGCCTCCAACATTATTTAGCTTTAAAGATCCATTAGAAGCTCTTAGCCAAGACACAAATTGTTTTTCGTCTCCTGCTCTTGGCATCGGGACACATCTCGCCTGTATTCCTAGGCCTCTCTCATAGCACACTAGTTGTGTGGAGCAGAAACTGCCATACACCAGGCTCTTGGTACTTATCTGCCCTGGATGCCATCTCTTGTTGGGATATTTACGTGGGTTATCTCTCAGGCAACGTTTACTGCCTTGTGGTGCCACTTGACGTGCTGCTTGCTCTCCCAGATGACCTTTTAAAGCCTTCTGAGGTATTGATTGCATTCCAGCCCTGCATTTGTTACAGAAAATAGAGATGCTATCATTTCACATGCATGCAAATACCCCTTCTGGGCTTAATGCAGAAGTCTGACTAAACACAGTATTCAGAAGGAGACCTTGGTAGAGGGAAAGCTTGTCTAAACCCAGCTTTTATACTGTGTGTAAGAAAATACGGGAATTTGCCGAAACCGGCTTGGCTCAGTGGATAGACTGCGGGCCGTAGTTTGAAGACGCCTGGGATAGAGTGTCGGTCTGCGGACTGAAAGGTCCCAGGTTCGATTCTGGTCAAGGGCATGTACATTGGTTGCAGGCACATCCCCGTTAGGGGGTGTGCAGAAGACAGCTGGTCGATGTATCTCTCTCATCGATGTTTCTAACTCTCTATCCCTCTCCCTTCCTCTCTATGAAAAACCAATAAAATATATTAAGAAAAGAAAAGAAAAGAAAATATGGGAATTTGTTGTTACCTTTTTCTTCATATGATGAGCTTGTCATTAATCCCAGGAGCTGGCATCTTGGTAATTACTATAGACGGAAGTCCCTGTCTTAACAAACAAAGGGTTGGTAGCTGTCTTTTTAAAATATGTAATTCTTTTAAAAATTGAGGTGAAATTCATCTAATATAAAATGAACCATTTTAAAGAGAAAAACTTTGTAGAATTTAGTATATTGACAAAGTTATGCAACCACAATATCTAATTCCAAAACATTTCCAAAAAGATACCCCATGCCCATTAAGCAGTTACTCTCCATCTCTCTCCCCGCCACCCAGGTGTCTGGCCCGTTTAGGAAGAGAAAATATCTCTACCTGTCAGTGACCGCTTTCTCACAACCTTTCCAGAAACAATAGTTTTCTTCTGTTTCACCCTCTTCTACTTCTAACACATCTAGGAAAGTCTGATTCTAACCTGTAGTGACTGTTGCTTCTCCTGTTGTCTGCTTGTCTGAGTTTAGGTAAATTTGAACTCAGTTCTCCTAACCAGTGTGTTTTCTCTCCTGAATTGGACCCAACATTCTGCTCTACATTCTTGGTGTAATAGCAAATTAATCTTGCTGAACAGAAACTTCCTAATGTAACCTAAACAATTCAGTTCACTTTTTATTAGGATATTCTGAAAAAAGGGTGTTGTTTCATATAATATATTAGAATAGGCCCAACGTATAATCTCGTTTCAAAAAGGGTGGGTTTTTAGAAGCCTCCTAGAACATTTAATTATTATTCTGGAAAAGATTCAAGATATAAAGTTATTTGTCAGTTTTCTGGCATTATCAGGTGTCTTTTGGTTTTGGTACCTTCAGGATGCTTTGCTTGTTCTTATGTAGCTCTCACGGGAGTGCCGAGCTGAAGTCCAGCGGATCCTTCACCAGCGTGCCATGGATGTTAAGCTGGATCCCGCGCTCCAGGATAAGTGCCTGATTGACCTGGGCAAATGGTGCAGTGAGAAAACAGAGACCGGACAGGTAGGTGGCATCATCATCATCATACTATTCATGATCACCATGTTATATAGAGTACAAACTCCCATAAAATCCATTTCTCTTTACTTCATGGACAGAATTTGTTATTTTATTTGATGATCTCTTTATCAGAAATCCTTGGGAAATTTTTCTGTTTTCTGTTTAGTTTCTGTAATCAAGAATAATTATACTTTTACTAAGCATTTGGTATGTTTTTATATTACTTGGTAATTGATTGCTTCCCCTCTTTGTGTTGCCTCTTAAAAAACCTAGAGTCAGCCGAAACCGGGTTGGCTCAGTGGTAGAGCGTCGCTGCACTACTACTAAGTCACTCCGGAGGGGGCAGGACGCCGCTCCCAGAGTGGAAAGTGGTTTTCGGGGACTCGACACAGCTCTCTCCCCGATGTCCATGGTTTGAGGACTGAAAGATTCTGGGTTCGATTCCCGTCAAGGGCATGTACGTTGGCTGCGGGCACATTCCCAGTGGGGGATGTGCAGGAGGCGGCTGGTCGATGTTTCTCTCTCACCGACGTTTCTGGCTCTCTATCTCTCTCCCTTCCTCTCTGTAAAAAAAAAAAAAAAAAATCAATAAAATATATTTAAAACAAAAAAATAAAAAACCTAGAGTCAAAGAAAGGTATGGCCTGCCTCTAGGAAGTATATAAGATTTTGTGGTAGGCGTTTTGTGTTAACTTCCTACTTGCTCCATCCTACTTTCTTTAACATAATTTTCTCCTTTTTGACTCATTTTTTAATTCATTTTATTTTGTGGGGGGGTTTTCCCCCCCTCATTTTTATAAGCCACTTTAAGCCTTTTTGAGGGGGGAATATGTATAAATATTTGTATGCATGAATAGTGTGCATGCCCTACAACAGTGCTACAGGATATGTAGGAATGGACTTTTCCCATCTAGTAATTGATGAAATTGAGGCTCACAGAAGTGAAGTATATTGACTCCTTTACCTAAAACTCAGGTCTATTCCTAGCCAGGCATTTGTTTCATTATAGTATTATAACCACCTTCCATTCAGGAGTATAGAGAAGGAGCAGCCCCCAAGAATTACATGCATTCTGTAAATGGTTCCTTAGGGTTTTGTGCCTAGTTAAAAAACAAAACAAAAAAAAAGGAAAGAGGTACATTATTACATTCTATCAAATTAAGAGGGAAAGTGGCTAAATGCAGGGAAACTAAGCAGTGAGGAATAGCTGCTTGTTTAAGGCCCCATTGATACTTGAACAAGGCGTGAACCCAAGTTTCCAGGTTCTCTTTGTCCCTCTCCAAAACACTCCCTGGGATTCACTGGAACAGGAATTAGACGTTTTTAAGAAGTAGTGGCTGCTTACACAGATCTGTTGAGCCTGGGAATATCATTTTTAGCAGTTGGCTTTCTGAGCCTACTATAGCTCTGTCTAGTTAATTGTTGGAAAATGCCTTTTGTTTTGTTTTCTGCTACCTCTGTCTAATGAAACAAGGGATATGGTCATTCTTAATCCCAGGAATCAGTTTCCTTTCATACTGCCTGTAAAGTAATCTTGAGAAAGCTGCATTGTGAAGCTGAACTTAGGACAGGGTTCTGTGAATGGGATTTTCCCCCTTAGCTATTTATTTTACTCCCAAAAGTATTACGCATTTTCCTTTAGGGTTATATAATTCCTACAGCCCTTCTCCTTCCTTCTCAGTCTAATTTCAAATTAGAGATTCTTGCAGAATACTAAGTTAAATGTGGTCCTTTAACTGAGAAATAGCTGTTGGTGGGATTTGAAAAAATGAGCTGGTGTTATACTTAACAACCTCTAAATTTCTAAGAGAAATGGTAACAGACTGATGCTATAAGGTAGCTCCACCTCAGTTTCCAAAGCCCAGACAAGACAGCTTTCAGAGACCCCAGCCCTGGTGTGCTCACCTGTTTGGCAGTTTCCCTGGGAGGGTCCCTCATGAGGGCTAGAGTTAGAATCACAGGCTTGCAGGAACTTTCAGCTCTTTGTTGTGTTTAAGATGCTGGGTCCCGGCGTACTTTGCCCATAAAGAGTCTTAGAATATTTCATGTCTTTCACTGTGAATTTATTGTCCAGTGATCATTATCAAAACACAGAAATAAATGGAATGGCAGGGTGTTGATGGAATGGAATAAAGGCCTGATAAGATTTTTAGACTCTGAGGACACCTGCACATTGATTCTTGCTACATGTCTCGATTTGGCCTTCTGGAGGATTCACATGGCTCACCCCTCTTAACCACCCTGTTACATCAAGTAGTTATCTTTCCAACCATCCCAATTTGGGAAATAAATATAACTGTAGTGTTGTGTTCAGTGAAGTAGTTTTAAAATGGAAAAGAAAAGAAGGACCACTGAAAAGGAAGTAATACTGATATCTCAGCTTCCCTTGGTCATTTATGTAGTGGACAAACCCCAAGGGATTGCCTTTTTGTTTGCAGGAGCTTGAATGCCTCCAGGATCATCTTGATGACTTGGCGGTAGAGTGTAGAGACCTAGTCGGCAACCTCACCGAGTTGGAATCGGAGGTAAGCAGTTTGCAGCTCTTCGAAGTGCCCTGTCAGCAGCCTTTCCTTTGTTCTTACTCCTACTGTCTCTAGGTTCTTGAGAATATAATTCTCTGGAAAACAAAAGAAACCTGGTCACTTTGTGATTGCTTTTTAAAGAAGAATATTGTGATGCTTCCTGAACTTCACCCTTTCCTCATTTCTCCAGAAAAACTGTCTCATCTGTTTAGCTCTTTGGTTTACTTCATAAATTCAATTTATCACAGTGATTAGACCAGTCTTCCCCCCCCCCCCCTTTTAAGAAAAGATAGCAGTTTACTTTAAATTTATTAATCACATTCAAGAAGAGTCTAAGCATTCCTATTATCTTCAGCTCTTTCAATTAGGTAATTTGCTAATGTGTGTGTATTTAATAAAATAAAAGCCTGGGATTTATAGTTAAATATGTAGGATTGAATACATATGTTTATCTCTATTCCGTCCTGAAATCCACTAAAATATACAAAATAAAATTTAAAACCTCATAAGCTTAGGTATATTATTTAAATTCAGAGCTTATTATTGGGGAGGGAGGCATCTAAAAATGTTTAAATTGTTTTGTGGGGCAGAGACCTGTTTCAGGGAAACAGAAAGCTGCTTTTATTTTTTTCTTCAGAGAAGAAGGGAGAGAGAGATATCAGTGATGAAAGAGAATCATTGATTGGCTGCCTCCTGCAGGCCCCACACTGAAGATAAAACCCACAACCCAGGCATGTGCCCCAACAGGGAATCAAACCAGTGACCCCTTGGTTCCTGGGTCGATGCTCAGCCGCTGAGCCACACCCGGCTGAGCAAAAACTGCTTTTTAAAAAAAGCAAAAATAGAAGCCTTTTAAAATTAAATTGTCAGTACATAAAATTAGACATTTCTTAACTAGTCTTTTTTCTTTCTATTTTTCAAAGGTTTATTGCTTTCTTTCATGTACTGACAACTCCTCTCCCATTCACGTTTTTCTTGCGGGCTTATGAGGACATTCTGGGTGTGTAACTCTTTAAAGGAAGCTGTTATTTCAGCAGCTAGTACTATACAGTGCTTACTCTCTGCTTAAAGGCATTGAGTGTGTGTTCCAAGAGGCAGTGGTTTTATCATTTGGTTTGAGGACAGTGGTCTGGTTTAGGAGCTCATAAACTAAAGATAGATGTCAGTTGCCCTTGTTTTGATCTGCTTAGCTTTTTGGAAAAACTTGAAAGGCTTTATATACTCTAGTATTATTATTATTAAGTGCTTTTTTTCCTCCTCTTTCTTAATTCTGCATCTGCTTCTAGAAAACTTGCCTTTCAACATATAATGGAGGTGCAGTTAGTTCTATCTATGCTGGGGGTCTCCAATCTAAAGACTGAAATAGTCTCCAAATGTACATAACAGATTATTTGCCCATCAGGTGCTACTAAATTCAGAGAAAGAAACTGCTCCTTTTCCCACCCTTGGTTCTTCCAAAGGCCAGAATTAATATATTTAATCTTCTACAGGATATTCAAATAGAAGCCTTGCTGATGAGAGCCTGCGAGCCCATAATTCAGAACTTTTGCCACGTAAGTGATGTCTGGAGAATAAAGGGTTAGAGACAGAACTGAATTTACTAGTCCTCTGGCCCCCAAGTGTGTTGGATCATCTGTCTTCAGCATACGTTACTCCTGAGTGGCCAACTTTGAGAAGTTAAAGATGTAAACAAAATCAAGAGGGGGTGCTGTCATCCTGGGAAACCTTACTATGTCATCCTTTGTAGGCGTCCAGATGTGTGCTCTGCAGCAGATGCTGAGATGCCCTTTAGAAAGGCTGGGGGAGGCCCCAGGGGCATGGCTGATTGCTTCCATTACGTCAGTGCAGGACTTGTTAGCAGCATCAGTGGGTTCCCCTTCCACCTGTCTTCTTGTACCTGGATATTGAGCAGATTCTGTTACTTTATTCAAGTATTAGATTACCTAATTTTGGGAGCAAAACACACGCAGGAACCATGAGGATCTGACACCCAGGAAGCAAAGGAGTAGAAGCACTGACTGCATAGTGCATGCTCTTGTTGGAGCTTCATGCAGGGCAGCTTGCTGTGTGGATTTTATTCCCTAGATATTTGTCCCTTGTGATTTCTTGGGCTTATTTTGACATACTTTAGTACATACCTTGTTTGCATTTTTTATGAACTAGACTACAAGATGTGTTTATTAATTGTTACAAATGAAGTGTAAATGTGCACTGCCTTTTCAGGATGTGGCAGATAACCAGATAGACTCTGGGGACCTGATGGAGTGTCTGATACAAAACAAACACCAGAAGGACATGAATGAGAAGTGCGCCATTGGAGTCACCCACTTCCAGCTGGTCAGTAACACCGGGCAGAGCCTTTTTGTCTTGACTGCTCTTGTGAAAAATTGTTTTCTCCAAATGCATGCCCTATTTTGACTTGTTCTCAATAAATGTGGTTTTTTTCTTGCTGTGGCCAGATGCTTTGTTAGGATTCTGAAAATTCAGTAATAAATACAGTGGACCTCAGTTCTCGAACTTAATGCGTTCCTGAAGGCTGTTCGAAACGAGAAATGATTTGTTTGAAAACCAAATCATTTCCTCCCAGTAAAAAGAATATAAATCGAATTAATCCGTTCCAGACCCTCCAGCGAATACCTGCTTTAACCTTTCTTATATATAGTACATGTCTAATGTACTGTTTAATCTATTAAAAAACAAACAAACACATCTTTTCAAGTTTGTCAACTATTCCCCATTAGCTTTATTTTTTTTCCCTTTTAAAAAAAACTTTATTGTTCAGATTATTACAATTGTTCCTCTTTTTCCCCCCCATATCTACCTTCCATCCGATTCCCATTTCACCCTATGCCCTTACCCCCCCACACTGCCCTCATCTATAGGTGTATGATTTTTGTCCAGTCTCTTCCCGCATCCCCCACACCCCCTTCCCCTCGAGGATTGTCAGTCCACTCCCTTTCTATGTCACTGATTCTATTATATTCACCAGATTATTCTGTTTATCAGGTTTTTTTATTCACTTGATTTTTAGATTCACTTGATAGATATGTGTTTGTTGTTCATAATTTTTATCTTTACCTTTTTCTTCATCTTCCTCTTCTTATAGAATACCCTTCAGCATTTCATATAATACTGGTTTGGCAGTGATGAACTCCTTTAGCTTTTTCTTATCTGTAAAGCTCTTTATCTGACCTTCAATTCTGAATGATAACTTTGCTGGGTAGAGTAATCTTGGTTATAGGTTCTTGCTATTCGTCATTTTGAATGTTTCTTGCCACATAGTTTGGCCTGCATAGTTTTTGTTGAGAAATCAGCTGACAATCTTATGGGTGTTCCCTTGTAGGTAACTGTTTTTCTCTTGGTGCTTTTAATATTGTCTTTGTCTTTTGCTCTTGACATTTTAGTTATGATGTGTCTTGGTGTAGTCCTCTTTGGATTCCTTTTGTTTGGGGTTCTGTGTGCTTTCTGGACTTGTAAGTCTATTTTTTTCACCAGTGGGGGAAGTTTTCTGTCATTATTTCTTCAAATAGGTTTTCAGTACCTTGCACTCTCTCGTCTTCTGGCACCCCCATAATTCTGATGTTGGTGCCCCCTGATTGTGTCCCTAATGGATCTGAGGATTTGTAATCTGGATGGTCCTACTCTGACCCCTGGGTACACTGGCTCTTGGATCTCCAAGGATGTACTAATTTAGCCTTTGCCTGAGGCCACCCAGCAGAAGCAACAGAGAGATCTGCAGATTCCTCTTATTTGATTGGGTTTTGGAGGTTCCCAGATGAGGCCCAGCTGTGAAGCAGTGCAAGCTGTTTTGGGGCCTTTGACCTTCTTTTGGATGTCCTAGGTCTCACTGATTCAGCTGCAGTTTGTTAGGTAAGTTTAGATTTCAAAGGACCAGGCCATTTAAATGCAAAAGCCTCTGTGCAAAGCTTGAATGAGATGGAGTCTCAGGGCGGAGCAAGCAGCAATTGCTGGTCCTCACCCCTGCCATAAGAGGCTCTTGGGTCTCAGTGTTCTGCAGTAATCGCTGCAAGCACCTCTGAGAAAAAGCCACCCTCACTTTTCGCCCACTGCCAGACAGTCCAGTTTTTCCCTGTATGAGTCTGGATCCCCAGAGTCTTATCCAGGACTGGAGTTGAGAGCAATCGGAAGCTTGTGTCTCCCTGAGGATTGAAAAAGCCAGCCGAGTACTCAGTTGCCAACCCTCTCCACGTGTGTGCCTTCGTATCTCTGGACTTGACTTCCACACCTCATTTGAATCTCAGTGTGCTTTTCCCCTCCCGTCTAGTTGTAGAATTTCCACTTAGCCAGCCTTCCTGTGGTTCTGAATGATGTCCATTTTGTCGTTTAGTGGTTGTTTTGAAGTGGTTGTGCGTAGCACAGCAACAAGTTCAGGTGTTTACCTATGCCGCCATCTTGGTTTCTTCCCCCCATTAGCTTTAAATGAATCATTTTAGCATTCACTCCAGTGGTGTCTTTCAGGTCAGCATGCAGCATCTTTGTTTGTTCACGTATTACTGCCTCTGAAATGGTTATCACTGGCTAACTGCTTTTTGTTTATCAAAATCCACAACAGTTTTTCTACCTCTCCAGTTGTCTGTGATCATTGTTTCTTTCACACCATTAGTAATATTAGCATTCTTTTTCTTTTTTTTTTAATATATATATTTTATTGATTTTGTACAGAGAGGAAGGGAGAAAGATACAGAGTTAGAAACATCAATGAGAGAGAGAGTCATTGATCAGCTGCCTCCTGCACACCCCCCACTGGGGATATGCCGGCAACCAAGGTTCATGCCCTTGATCGGAATCGAATCTGGGACCTCAGTCCCCAAGCCAACGCTCTATCCATTGAGCCAAACCAGTTTTGGTAATATTAGCATTCTTAATGGTCTCTTTATGTTTTAAACTGCTAATCATTGCTTTCCCCAGCAACAAAAGCATTCTCTCCTTTGTTTGTTGCCTGAGAGACGCTTATTGTCATGCGGAGGTACCAGCATAAAAGGGTGAGACTTTTGTTAATAAACAACTTGGTAGAGAAGTGAGATGGGAGGATTTCTAGAAGCACGGTTTGACTGTATGTAGTTGGTACCCTTAGAGAGTATGTATCCCATTGGGGATAGAGGCAGTAAGGAGGCATTTCCTGCTTCAGTCACATCCCTTGCTTTCATGATGTATTTTAGCTTTTCCTTGAACAGTATCAGTGAGACCTGCTGTTTTGGGTCACTGTCCATTGCAGCAGCCCAAATATGTATCAATACACTGGGCTCAAAGCCTTTTTCAAAATTTAATCATGTTACCCAGATCTGTCATAATAAGAAGGCTAAGTCACGCTCTTCTTTGTTACCACATGTCTAACGGAAGTGTTTCTGGTAAAGCAGGCATTTCCTTGCCAGGAGGATGAAGTTCAAACATCTGGGTAAAATTCCCCTCTTCTGGGGCATATAGCCTTTGACAGATGGATTCAGGGCCTCTGGGGTAGAACAAACAAACGCTGCCCTGTGGGTGGACTATGTTCTGGTAAGAGACAGATAGTATCAGGAGAACCTATGAAGAACAATAATGCATGAAAGGGTTGGAGGATGAAGGAGACAAGGGACTGCAGAAGGAGGTAGTTGAGTAGAAACGCCAAGGAAGTGACAGAGAAAACCGGGGGAGGTCGGGGAGAAGGGTCCTCTGGCCGAGGGACCAGCATGTGTGTGATTGGAATGGCAGGGGGCTGCTGTGCGTGCAGCAGAGGGAGGAACGGGGAGGTCAGCAGTTCTCGGAGCCCGTGGAGACAAGGACAAGTCACGCAGAGTCCGGAAGGCTGGCTTCTGCAAACGCTATGAAAACAGTGTCGCCCAGCACTGCTGGTTAGGACTTGCCCCAGAGCTTCTGACTTTCTTTTTCATTGTTGTTTTTAGGTGCAGATGAAGGATTTTCGGTTCTCCTACAAGTTTAAAATGGCCTGCAAAGAGGATGTGTTGAAACTTTGCCCCAACATAAAGAAGAAGTAATGCAGCTTATAATTGGTTCATTCTGCTTCTCTAAAATCCCTCTTAGCTCCTGAATGAATATCCAAGATGTCAGGTGGCCTCCCGCTGTCTGGTAGCCCAGGGGAGTGTGGCCAAACACTGCATTGTCTGGACATCATCTCTATAGCTGCTGAGCCACCATTGGTGGTGGTAGTTCTGATTGGGAACCCCAGGGACTAAAGAAGCATTTTTTAGTTTTCCCAGATGGAGGTTGTGTACTTGGGATCAAGTAGCAGTGTGACAACGAGGTTAGCTGACTTCCTCCCGACATAATTCCACTCCGTCATCTCTTCAGGGAGGGAGTGGCTTTACTGAGTTAGAGATACAGTGAAAAACAGAACCTTATTCATTTAGGAACTGCATCTTAATGAGGGAAGTGATGAGTTTGTGGAGCAGGACCACCTAAATCCTTCCCTGTCATTCTTTGCAAAGGCACATTTCTATTTCCCCTCATGTAAACCAAGTTCCCATTTTGCTCAGGTTTCTATACTTCTCAGGAATGAGTTTCACAGTATGGACATCCAAGCCACGGTCCAAGTTAAGAGCAGCCTTCCTCTCTGATCACATGTTTTTAACAAAATGCGTGTTAAACTGTCCTTGCCTCTGTGGCCTCCCTGCCTGTCGGGAATATAGTCAGCCTTTGGGCTGTGGCCCAGCTTTTATGACATATACAGTCAAATTGCTGCTTTGAGAGCTCTGATCACACAGACTAAAGAAAAGGCATTCAAAACAGGGTGAAAGGGTCAGGAGTTGCGGGAGGGGGTGTTGCTCCCGCCTAGCCCAGCGCTCCGCCGCCTGCCCTTGTGTGGCTGCAGCCAGCCCCAGCCTCCTCCTCTCCTCGGCAGGGTGGACGTGGTGATCTGCCTGAGCACCACCGTGCGCAACGACACTCTGCAGGAAGCCAAGGAGCACAGGGTGTCCCTGAAGTGCCGCAAGCAGCTGCGCGTGGAGGAGCTGGAGATGGTAATGCCTCCACCAGAGCCTCGATCCCAGAAGCCCCGGGGCCAGGGAGAGGAAGTGGGTGAGGGGCGAGGGCTAACTGAAAGATTTTAGCCACTGTTGTGCTAAAATTTACTGTATGGCAGCTTCTTGTTTTACTTTGTATTTGAATGAGAAAAGATTTTTACTGTGTGAAACTGAAAGTCCCGAGCAAGACAAGAGTTGTAAGCATGCAACACAGTCATTGCATAGTGATGTCCGAGGGATCAGGGGTCTCTCCTTTCACTCTGCTGTCCTTGCCCCAGCTTCGCCATGAGGCCGCTTTCCCTAGGATGGCCGCCTGCAACCCTGGGCTCCCTGCCCCAAACTCATCTCTAGCAGGAAAGTAAAAACAAGAGACACCTCCCCAGCATGAAAAAAAGATCTTTCCCCCTTCAATTCGATCCTGTCAGTTTGAGGTCTGTGCCCAGCCCCTGACCAACAGCAGCCTCCAGGGGAGTGCCAGGCACTGATCACCCGGGCGAAGTGGAAGTCGGCCACACCGTGCACTGTGAGAGGCCGTGCAGCTAGTTAGGGCAGCACTGAGACCAAGTCTCCGTCCTCCTGCCACTTTGCTGTGTAGACGTGGTTACCAGACAGGATCCAATAAAAAAAAAATATGTAGGACATTTGACATCTCCAGCTCAGAGTGACCTCCCTTTTCCATGCTGGTTCCCCCTCCTGCAGACAGAGGACATCCGTCTGGAACCGGATCTGTACGAAGCCTGCAAGAGTGACATCAAGAACTACTGTTCCACGGCGCAATATGGCAACGCCCAGGTAGCTTCTTGTTCGTTTTTAACTGCAGAAGTAATGTGAAGGTGACACGTTACTTCATTTATTGTGTGTGTGTGTGTGTGTGTGTGAAGGTGACATTTTAAAAATTAATTCTTCGATGGGATAGGCCTCATCACATCTGTCCCAATCTAATCATCCGTTCACGAGTTATGCCAGACTTTTCCCCAAGTTTCTCTTTGTCTCCTATTTATTCTTTTTTCTCTCGGTTTCCATGTCTGCCTAATAATCTCTTAATGATCCTTCATATGCCTCATCCTCTGAATAGCTTTCCCAACACTCTGCACCTCTATAATTAGTTATTCCCTCCCCATGTTACCATTGCAGTTCTTAACTAAAGGTTACACAAGTATCACCTCAGAAACTTTTTTTTTTAAATACATGGAAACAGGGACCTACCCAGAATCATCAAGAATGAAATGCAAGCAAATAATTTTTTTTTAGAATAGTCCAAGGATTTATTTTATTTCTTTCCATCACCATTTATCCCCTTTATGCCCTCTTCCACCTCCGCCCCCAGCTCCATGCAGTCACCACACTGTTGTCCATATCCTTAAGTTCTCTCTCTTTTTCCTTTTTTGTTCAATCCCTCTGATCTCCCCCTCTCCCCCATGTTTTCCCAGTAACTCAACTGCCCCTTCTATTCAGTAGTTCAGGCATTCCCATGGAGCTTTCCTTTGAGATAGTGACTTCATTGTCTTCTTGTTCCTGGTGGTGTTGATGCAAAGTCTTAGGGCAATCTGAGTCTCATTTCTATGTAGTAATTCTGCCTCTGAGTTTTCTCTTTATCTTTAACAATCTGTATTTTCACTATGATATACTTAGGTTTTCTTTCTTTCTTTTTTTTTTTTTTTTTTACTTCTTTATTCTGGTTGGCTTTCAGTCTCAGAATTCATGCCATTCTGCTGTTTTCATTCTCCAGATCTGCAGTTGATACTTTTCATAACCTGTTCTTGCTTATCATTTACCACTTCCTTCTGTGTTGTTCTGAGGCTATTAAACAATATGTTTTTATTGCACTGTTACCTTTTCTCTCCGCTGTTTGATGATTCTTGATTGTGCCTTGAGAATTTCACCCAAGTCTTGTGACTTTATGCTATAGCCCTGGCTACTGCAGCTTTCCGTCTGCTTCTTTCACAGAGGATAGGAGAGTCAGGATATACTTAATTCACTCCCATAAACCCATCCTGTGCTACTTCCTTTTTTTGTAAAAAACTTAACTGTTGACACTATTACAGATGTTCCCATTTTCCCCCCCTTTGCCCACCTCCACTCAGCCCCCACCCCTTCTTCCCTCTGGCCATCACCTCACTGTTGTTTGTGTCTGTGCATTACTCATATATGTTCTTTGACTAATCTCTTCGCCTCCTTTCATCCAGTTCCCCCACACACACTCCCTCCCCTCGGACATCTGTCAGTCTGTTCCATGTAATTATGCCTCTGACTCTAGTTTGTCGATTTATTTTGTTCGTTAGATTCCACATATAAGTGAGATCACATTTGTCTTTCTCTGACTGGCTTCTTTTACTTGGCATAATATACTTTATGCTTTTATGTTAATCCATTTTATTTTTTACTCTGCTTATTTGTTTATATGAAGTTTGCACTGTGTGGGGTAAGGATTGGGTCTAATTTATACAAGGCATCTAATGCTATATTGTGTTGTGGTAAGAGGTGAGTTGAACTGAACCTCCGGCCTTTGCCTGCAGTCTGGTCAGGTTATTGCTCCAGAGAGAGCCAGAGAGCCTCCTGTGTGCTTCAGAAGGAATCTTGACAAGATCAGCTCGAGAAGGCAAAGGAATCCAGGAATCCTGAGTAGGGTTCCTTCCTTTTAGAGCTCAGTACAGTCTGCTATTCATCCATTATTTTTATAAGGTTGTTTTACTATAACTCTGAAGTTATAAATCTATAAATATAATTCTCCTTGTTAAGGGAATCATGATTCCTATTACCTAGGAATTAGAAATGGAAGGTACTTGGATAGAAAGTGGGGATGTACTAAGATCTGAATGCTTCAATCAGAAGACATGGGTTTTCAATCCTGGCATACCCCTTAACTTGACCATTACTCTTACACCCTAGATTATTGAATGTCTGAAAGAAAACAAGAAGCAGCTGAGTACCCGTTGCCACCAGAAAGTTTTTAAGCTGCAGGAGACAGAGATGATGGACCCAGAACTAGATTATACGCTCATGAGGGTCTGCAAGCAGATGATAAAGGTAAGAGGTCCAAAACCAAGCACTAAGCACAGGGTGAGTAAAAACGACAGCATGAACCTCTTTAAATGTCAGAAAATTCATGTGATCTTCCCGCTTCCATTGTTTATACACGTGGTTCTCAAAGTCTAGTGCCAGACCAGCAGCACCAGCACCCCCGGGGAATCTGCAGGTTCCTGGGCCCCACCCCAGATCTGCTGACCAGACTGGGAGTGGAGCGTCTGGTGTAAAGCTCCCCAGACGATACTGATGTATGGTCAAGTTAAAAAACCCCTGAGCTAAGATAACCAACCTCACTTAGACCTGAGCCACGAGTAACTAGAGATCTAATGAATGTTTTGGGGGCGACTCGTGGTGGTATACTGAGAAAGCCACCATCAGAATGTCCTGTCATTAATTCAACCACCGTCGAAAGGCTTTCCATTTTAAGAGTTTTTTGGTTCATTTACTTCTGCAGTGAACATTCGCTGATTTGAGAACCTAGACATCAGTTCCTGGATCTGTCCATATATACAGAGATTAAACTTAAGGTTCTGACCACTTATTTCCGCTTCCCGTTAAAATAAAATGCTACTTTTCAACCTATTGCATTTCAAAGAGAATGGTGAAAGTTAGAGGTCTCTTTTGGTGGGCCTGATAGAACTGAGTCCTCTGTAAAAGTGGAAATAATCAGGGTTGGGTTTGTAGAAACTTGATATTACTTTTATAAAGATTAGTCACCAGTTCACATCACCATATTCAGATGTCAGTATACTAGAATTAGCAGGTAGAGAAGGAATTTTTTACTAGTCCAAAATGGAGCTCTGACTTCAAGGACACTAACCAGCATATAGGGACTAGCCTGTAGTTAAGAGATAAACCAGATGGTCCTTTCCATCCATCCCTGTTCACATGGGTTAGTGGACAATTCCTGAATTTCCCATTGGAATTAGGTAGACATTTGGCCACCTGGTACAATTAAATTTATGCTTAATAATATTTAAGCTCGCTGAAACAGGTTTGGCTCAGTGGATAGAGCATTGGCCTGCGGACTGAAAGGTCCCAGATTTAATTCTGGTCAAGGACATGTACCTTGGTTGCGGGCAAATCTCCAACAGGAGATGTGCAGGAAGCAGCTGATAGATGTTTCTGTCTCATTGATGTTCCTACCTCTGTATCTCTCTCCCTTCCTCTCTGTAAGAAATAAATTATATATATATATATATATATATATATATATATATATATATATATACATTTTTTTTTTTTTAATAATAATAATAATAATGTTTAAGCTCATGAGATGCCACATAAGGTAACAGCCACGAGGGTAGGAAATCAATCCTCTGTAAACTAGGAAACAAACGCTGAGGTAGGAGAAAGAAATGTGAGAGCTACAGTGGAAAGTAGGATAAGAATAGGGTCTTGAGGTTGAATGCTTATTCACACCTAGTCATTTCCTTTTACCAAGTGATACCTCAGGCTGCTTCTGTCATAAGCTTCTCAACAGATGTTTGAGTAATACATGTGATGCAGATGGTGTTAATTGCCATGTTTGAATAGCTGTCTTTATAAAACTTTGATTCTTTGCAGAGATTCTGTCCAGAAGCAGATTCCAAAACCATGTTGCAGTGCTTGAAACAAAATAAAAACAGTGAATTGATGGATCCCAAATGCAAGCAGATGATAACCAAGCGCCAGATCACCCAGAACACAGGTAACATCTTGGCTTGGCTTTCTTTCCTGGTCCCGCACTTAATGGAACTGAGTGGGTGGACCCATGCCTCATAAAACTGTAGGTGTTTTGTTGCTTGGGAATTTTCAGGGAGAGCTTGGAAGTAAGCAAAAGGGCTTAATCCTCCCTTGAATAGTATCCAGGAGAACAGAATGAAAGCCATGGGAAAGAAGAGGCTGAAAAAATAGAAAACTGGCTCTGAATGGCTTACAAAAGAAATCAGGGCTAGATTTCTTGAAAAGTCTAGAGATTTATTAAAACTTCTTGCATGTGGCGGGTGAGTATATGGGTCATTTATTTTAGAGCAGAGAAATTGTTATCTCTCAGTTAACCTTGTAACTAAATGGCCAAGGTGAGTTGGATATTCTGTTCTCAGTATTTTCAAAACTAACTGTATGGGGAAGGTTGATGTCTGCTTGATGTTTGTGAGGACTGCTCAGAAGTTCAGTCTCAGACTCTGAGCAGCTGCTGCCCCGTAGACAGATTCCTGATTTGTATGAGAGCTCAGTGTATAGACATTTATTGAATAAACACATCAATGGTTTATTTGTGTTAATTAATATAATATGTCCCTTTTTGGAAGGTGGCTCTCTAAAAATGTATGAATCCAGTTGGAATATTTTATCATGTTCTTAACACTTTCTGCTCTAGATTACCGCCTAAACCCTGTGTTAAGGAAAGCCTGTAAAGCCGACATTCCTAAGTTCTGTCACGGTATCCTGACTAAGGCCAAGGAGGATTCGGAACTGGAGGGCCAAGTCATCTCTTGCCTCAAGCTGAGATATGCTGACCAGGTAGGTTGTCCCGGGGTCTCCACAGAGGCGTGTTCAGGGAGCCGCCTCTGTTCCTGGCAGTGGTTCTCGTAGAAGGCCCCCCCGCTCGCTCCTACTGCCTTTTCTACGCCCTCCCAAGTCAGGGCCAAGGAAAGAGCCAAAGTTGTCTAATAGCCTGACACATTCTCCCTTTGTCACATGTAGCGCCTCTCTTCAGACTGCGAAGACCAGATCCGGATTATTATTCAGGAGTCTGCTCTAGATTACCGACTCGATCCTCAGCTCCAGCTGCACTGCTCAGATGAGGTAGGATTGGGGTATGAAGCTGGTTGCGAACAGAGCTGGTCAGAGAAGTTTTCATTGGAGAAAAGTTCCTTAGTCTCTTTCCCTGAGCCCTGACTCCAGGGTTAGTTGAAGGGCCATCATTTAGGCTCTCCGTGGTCCAAGTTCCTGGTTCTCTGTAAATCGGAGTTAGTCCTGTCACTATACACGGCTGATTCTGTAGTTCTCTATTAAACAAAAGCATTCTACTATTATATCTCTACATGTAGTTTGTTCTTCCCTTCTAGAACCCAGAACACCCTAAGACTTGGCAGGAAGATAGACATGCTCTTATAATAGCTCTGACAAAGTGCTGGTCCTTGGAAATCATTTGCCTTCCTAGCTAGAAAGGGCTGAGTGAAGAACCTTTCAAATTATGTGAACTTGAGGGGGTCATAGCTAAAAATACTTCGAACAAGCTTCCTCAGACCTGTCCAAAAAGATTAAGTTTTTAATCTGTGCTGTAGGCTATGTTTCCTGACCCCTCTGTGTGTGTGTGTGTGTGTGTGTGTGTGTGTGTGTGTGTTTGAGTTGTGAATCTGGGTTGACCCTGAACCTCTGGAAATGTGAAGCATTTGCTTTTAGTGTTTTTCTTGGCTGCATAGTTTTCCTCCTGTGGATCAGGGATTATCTTTGATTCTAGTCCTTGCGCAGTCCTGGGACAATCTGTCTCAGGTCTCAGGATTGACAGCATGAGATCTGCATGTTGGCTGATTTTTGACTCTGTGGCTGTCCTTGTGAAGGAAAACGGAGCCTGGTATCTCGTTCTGGAGGGAGGAGGAAGAGGAGGAATCTGTTTGAGTGGGGCTCTGGGCACATGTGTGGGAGGATCGCCAGATCTGCTCATTTCAGAGATGGAGGTTCCTGGTGAGAGTGTTTTTGTGTCTCCCGGACAGATCTCCAATCTGTGTGCCGAGGAAGCAGCAGCCCAGGAGCAGACGGGTCAGGTGGAGGAGTGCCTCAAAGTTAACCTGCTCAAGATCAAAACAGACATGTGCAAAAAGGTAGCCACCGTCAGCAGTTCCCCCACTTGCTTTCTCTCCTCTTCCCCTTTGTCCTTTTAATGCTGTATTCTGCACGTTTCGGTGATAAAATCTAAACCTTCCTTTCCAGAATGCTATGCTGTTCTCTCTTACCAAACTTTATATGATTCTTGACCATTAATGGCCTATTACTTAAATATTCTGTTACATGTGTTAATTATTTGTGAATGTCTCATTTACATGACTAGGCCATTGTTTAAAGGGCACTCTGAGTGGAATACCAAAGCAAAATGTCAATTCCAATATATCAGTAGTAAGTGCATTGCATTCATAAAAATCAATTAAACTAAAAATTTAATTCATTTCAGAAACAGCACCTAAAAACAAATTTATCAAAATATGACTAAGCCTACAGTATATTACAAAATTGAAAATTTGACCTTTTTAAAAAGCGTTATCTTTTTTTAAAAGTGTTTCGGTGGCCTAGCTGGTTTGGCTCAGTGGATAGAGTGTTGGCCTGCAGGCTAAAGGGTCCCGGGCTCAATTCCAGTCAAGGGCACATGCCTGGTTTGCAGGCTCAATCCCCATTGTGGGGGCATACAGGAGGCAGCCAATCAGTGATTCTCATCATTGATGTTCTTTCTCTCTCTCCCTTCCTCTCAGAAAGCAATAAAAAAAATATATATTTTTTAAAAGTGTTACAGTGAAGTCATTGTTGAGTCCATATGAGTATTGTGTGCAAATATTTTCAGGTACTAGAAATATTTCCAATTTCTTACAGTCTTAGTTCACTAATAGCTAAATGAATATATTTCCCTTTGTCATCCATTGGTCTCATCTAACTTTGAAGAGGTCTTTTTGGCAATATTTGAGTTTTGTTTTTATTGTTTTACAGGGACTACAGTCTTTATTGAGAGCAAACTAATTTTTATTTAACAAATCATTACCAGCCTGGCATTACCTCCTGTGATCTCATCATATTAATTGGAGGGTTTGCAGAGTTGATTACACTTCTATTACGTTTATGTCTCTTGCTCAGAACTTCTTTAAACGAAAATAAGAATCGTTGTTGCAGCAGCGTTCTGCGTTGTGCATTACTTTTCCCTTTGAGGATACTGGAGGAAAGTGAAACATTTTGCAGACGTCTGCTTTTGTTTGGGAATTTTCATATAGCATATCACTCCGATTTTCAGAATTCACATTTTCTGACTTCTTAAAGTAACAGAATACCTGTATTACATCAATGTGAATACTAGCATTTAGTATTTAATAATAATGTCAAAAATACAAATCTGATCTTACAAGCTCCTGCTTTGTTTAGCAAATAGCTTTTCACTCACTAGGTAGGTCCCCAAGTATATTTGTTGAATTAAGTTTTGTTGGAGCTGACATGCCCCGGCAGTGTGGCTTGATTGGGCATTATCCTGTGCACCGGGAGGTTGTTGGTTCAATTCCCTGGCAGGGCATATGCCCAGGTTACGAGCTTGACCCCCAGTAAGGGTGTGCAGGAGGAAGCAGATTGATGCTACATTCTCACATTGATGTTTCTCTCTCTCTCTCTCCCTTTCTCTCTCTCTCTCTCTCTCTCAGAATCAATAAACTATTCTTTTTAAAAATTGGATACTGGCCGAAACCGGTTTGGCTCAGTGGTAGAGCGTCGGTCTGCGGACTGAGGGGTCCCAGGTTCGATTCCGGTCAAGGGCATGTACCTGGGTTGCGGGCACATCCCCGGTGGGGGGTGTGCAGGAGGCGGCTGGTGGATGTTTCTCTCTCATCCACGTTTCTAGCTCTCTATCTCTCTCCCTTCCTCTCTGTGAAGAATCAATAAAATATATTTAAAAAAAAAAAATTGGATACTGAAAGTCTGCACTCTTTGCATCATCACCACATTACAGCCTGTCTCAGAGCAGGCTGTTGTCAACCCTCAGATATCTCTCCTTGACTTCTTTGTACCTGAAGTATTTGCAGACAGATCTGATGCATTGTCTCCATAAAAGCTCCTTCTGCAATATCCTTCCCTTCCAGGAGGTGTTAAACATGCTGAAGGAGAGCAAAGCAGACATCTTCGTGGACCCAGTTCTTCACACAGCGTGTGCCCTGGACATCAAGCACCACTGTGCAGCCATCACCCCCGGCCGCGGGCGCCGTAAGTCCGTGTCCACGCCGACCCCGTCTGAGCCGTCCGGGGAGGAGCGGAGGCTCCCCCCAAGACGTTAGTGGCAGCGACTCTGTCCTGTAGCTGCAGCTCAATCACAGGCACATCCTCTGAGCCTTTGTGGCAAAATGAGCTTTGGAGTAAGCCTGCGGTTTGAGCTGATCTCGCTACAAAGGCTGTGTTCGGGAAAGCAGAAGTCAGGCCGCCATCACAGATCTCTTTCCCGTCTTGTCCAGCCTCAGCTTCCTCCGTTTCCCCGGCAGCCACGTTAGGCTCAGTGCACACACTCTGTATGACGTAGAACCCGGGCAGGTGGGCAGCTGTTTCTGTGCCACGTGTGCCCAGTAAACACAGGAGAGATTTTAGGAGAGACTGGACAGTCCATGTTGGGGAATGAAATATGTTCCATGTTACATCTTGGGTCAAGTTTCCTAGAATGGATTTAACTTTGTTCAACAGATCTGAAGTCTCCGGTGGTTAGATAGCCTTCCCCCTAATTTTACGGAAATCTCTCAGTTCTGTAGGGTTTCAGCCTGTTCTCATCCCTTTCCTTCCACAGAAATGTCCTGCCTCATGGAGGCCCTGGAGGACAAGCGGGTGAGGTTACAGCCGGAGTGCAAAAAGCGCCTCAATGACCGGATTGAGATGTGGAGTTACGCAGCGAAGGTAATGGCCGAGAGCAACTGCTGGAGTGGCCACCTGGGCTGCCAGGTTCCCGGTCTCTTCAAGGCACTTCGCTGGCTCTCTGGTCTTTGTTGTGAGGCCGGCAGGAAGCGAATTAGAAAAATCTGCCCGTGTACCTTTGAGCCTCCTTCGCTGTTCCTGAGCCTGGAACTGCCTTGCTTTCTTTGCATTGGGCTGTGTCTGCTAGGGTTTGCCAGGGCTGGTACTTTCTGCCCTCAGGGGCCCACAGCCCACCACTGAGAAGTGAGTCACCCAAAGGGAGGATGTGACTTAAGCCGACTGTGCAAGAGAAACTAGACATCATGCCCGTGAGAAAAGGAAGATGTGCAGCCACTCCTGCTGCAGCTTGTTTTTCTAATTTTGCACAGTCACTTGGAGCACAATACGTATGTGAGACAGCCCTCAGCTAGCCTGGAGCACGGAGAGTCATAGACGGAGAGAGGATTAGGGCACTGGTGAAAGTGTGTGGTACCCAGGTGGACTTGGGCCAGGGATGGGGGGATTTTTCCTACAAAAACTCAAACTCAGTGAGAAGAATGGTTACAGTTCTTCCCATATGTACATTGCCTTGTAGTTCACAAATCACTTTGATGGATATATTACCTCATTTAAAACTTGAAACCTATGAGGTAGGTGGAATGATTATTCTCTCACTTTATGGTGGAGGAAACTGTGACTTCCTAAATTATGACTTGCCGAAAGCGAAAAAGTCAGGTTTCTAGATCCACGCTCTTTCTGTCTCCCTGCGCGGCGATAGACATTCCTTCGATGGAGAGAGGACACAGGAATCCTTGGCCAGTTCTTCCTGTCACCCGTGTGCTTAAAAGTCAAGGGTAACAGGCAAACGGGAAAGACCACAGAAAGTTTCCATACATAGACATAAAGGACCATCACTGTTACAATAGCCAGGGGTTAAGCACCTGTTACTCCTGCTTGGACGTCATTGGTCAGTTGAGGTGGCAGAGATTGGAGCTTCCTCACTGGTTTGCACTTGTATCTTCTAAGAATTGCCACTGCTGCTTTGGGTTGACAAGTGCTGGTGCTCAGATTGCGTTTATCTGAAGCCTCCTGCTCTGTTTTGTGTACATGGGCTGAGCAAAGAAGCAGTCCAGACATCTCTGGGCCAGCCTTTTCAGCACCCAGCCAAGGTTAGTGTGTGCCTGGGGAGCCTTCCGGGTCTGACTGCCACAGCAGCTCCTGGAGGGGCGCAGCGAGGAGGACTGAGGGGGGAGCTTGGTTACATGGTCACGTCCACAGTGAGGACGCGGGGAAGTATAGTCAGTCCCTGTCCATCACGTTTGCATGTTACTTTTGATGTGGGGAGTGCTTATGATATAATAATGAGTGCAAACAAGTCAAGATAAAGAATTAGCATATAACATAATTTGAATTGTTTTTTAAAAGGCAGCAAATATGAGTAAAATGAATCATAATACCTAAGAACCTGTGACCTATTGCAAGTCACTAAACCACCTCCACGTCCTTGGGCCTCTGGGTTTCCATCTACAATATGGGATAATAAAACCCACTTGTGAGCCCTGACCGGTTTGGCTCAGTGGATAGCGCTTCGGCCTACGGACTGAAGGGTCCCAGGTTTGATTCTAGTCAAGGGCATGTACTTTGGTTGCAGGCATGTCCCCAGTAGGGTGTTCAGGAGCAGCTGATCGATGTTTCTCTCTCTTCGATATTCCTAACTCACTATCCCTCTCCCTTCCTCTCTGTAAAAAGTCAACAAAATATATATGTTTTTTAAAACCTCTTGTGAGGTGGTGTGAGGGCTGTTTGTAAGCATGTTGAGCCCTTTCCAAGGCCCAGCGCATCGCCCAGTCCTCAGTGGGGCTGTTAACTTTGTTGGGGGTAGTGATTGCTGAGATGAAACGGGGTCCCCCCCTCTTTGAATTTGGCTGTATTTTCGAATATTTTTTTGTTGTTTTTGTTTTATTTTACTTTCTTAACAGTTCCTTTATTTTTATTTTTAAATTGAATTTGTTGGGGTGACATTGGTTCACAAAACCATACAAATTTCAAGTGTACAACTCAATAAAACATCACCTGCTCACTGCGTCGTACACCCATTCCCAAAGGAGTGCCTCTTTCCGTCCCATTTATCCCCCTCTGTCCACCTCCACCTGCTCCCTCCCTTTCCCTCTGGCTGTCACCACACTGCTAACTGTGTCTGCGTGTTATATATGTGTGTGTTTGGTTTTTTTTTTGCTTAATCACTCCACCTTCTTTCATCCAGTTCCCCAGCCCTCTGTTTCTATTTTGCTCTTCAGTTTATTTTGTTCATTAGAGTCCACGTGTAAGTGAGATAATACGGTGTTTGTGTTACTCAGACTGGCTTATTTCACTTACAGAATACTCTCCGGGTCCATCTAGCCTTACATAGCAGATACATAGAATGTCATGATCAGAGAAAAGGAGTTGAAGCTCTTGTCCCTTGCCCTCGCTCCTCAAAAGAAATGGCACGAAGTAAGCTAGGAACCAGGTCGGGCTCGTTCGAGCTCGCAGCACCCAGCCCGGTTCCCTCAGAGGGTGACGCTGTCGTGTCGTTCCAGGTGGCCCCCGCGGACGGCTTCTCCGACCTCGCCATGCAAGTGATGACCTCCCCGTCCAAGAACTACATTCTCTCCGTGATCAGCGGGAGCATCTGTATATTATTCCTGATCGGCCTGATGTGTGGACGGATCACCAAGCGAGTGACACGAGAGCTCAAGGACAGGTAGAGCCGCCTCGGCCGCCGAAGGAACTGCCTGTCCAGGACGTAGTTTGTACAGCCCTCCTGTATAGCGAACCCACTCACCTCGTCCTTCTCAGAGGTTCCACCGACAAACACCCGTGTCAGAGCAGCAGCAGGTACCACTGCATCGTCCCATCTCAGACCTCACCCACGTCCTGGTGTCCCTCCTTCCGACCGTCTGCGCAGCATCAGCCGCCGGCCGCTTTGGTTATCGCCGTTGTTGGCAGACATAGGTTTACCTGTAGACAAGTCTCTCTCATGCCAATGGAACCACAGGTACTTCCAGAACCAACTCATCTGACCTGCAACTCAAATGATTTCTTTAAAAAAAAAAAAAATCACCAAAAAAAGGAGAGAAATTTTTAAAGAAAGGAAAAAATGTATATAGTAACACACCTCCTCCAAGCTTGATTTGGGCAGTGGGTTCTTCCTTCCGTGTGACTGTGTACGATGAAGACAGGACGTTAAAGGGGAAACGCACCACCCAACATGCTACAACCGGGATGTCTTGCTCATTTCTCAAAAGCACCATTGGGCCATGCCAGGGCCACGGACTTCACCAAGTGGTGGGAAACCACTAACCAGCCAACTTCGGATCCTGTTTTCTTCTGCTGAAACAGTGATGCCTTCCAGTTTCCACCCTAACAGAGCCACTGCTGGTCAAGACCCCACTCCATGGCCATATGTATTCCTACGATCTCCTCAGCTCCGTGAAGTGGAGCAGGAGGCTCTGTAGGCCAAGGGCAAATGGATTGGTGGGGGGAGATCAAAACTCTGTGATGCTGATCTGCACTGAGAGGTGGACCCGGGTCCCCAGGCAGCAGAGTCCCAGTGCCCTCCCTCAGCCAGGCCAGTGCGGGACTCGGCTGCCTGGGATGGCCCCTGCTGGGGCAGCGGGTGCTCCAGAAGTCCTGCCCGGAAGCAGCGCATGTGGGGGCGGGGCTCGGGGCAGGAAGGAGGAGCCAGGGCTTGGTTAACTTTGCTTTATGTTGCAGGTCAGGTCAGTGGCTTAGAAAGATGCAGCCTGGTCTCAGGTGTGACTGCAGTCCAGCCCGACCTTTTTGCAGGCTCCGAGCCACCTTCCTAGACAGCCCCTTTATGCCTCTACCTGGAGAGGGCGTGGAAAGTTCTTACATTAAAAGATGGAGACTTTTCTCCATTCTTCTTCCTTTCTGTCCGTTTGCTGCGGACACCCAACGGTAGAAGGCATTGGGTAAAGGTTATACTTTGGTGATTTGTCCGTCTTTTCAGAATCTGAGCTTAATGGGAGCAGTATTCCTGGCCACCCTCCCTCGCCCCGTAGTGTGCAGGTGGCAGGTTGGAGTGTTCAGAGGGAGGATGCAGGCATCATGGTTCTACCCAGCACGGCTTGGCTGGACTTGGGGCATGGAGTCACAGTGGCTGCCTCAGAGGGCGGCGTGTACAGTAGGAGATATATTTATATAATATATATTTTATTAACCTGTTAGACGTCCACAAAGTGTTATAAATCATGTGCCTAAAACTGTCTGCATAGACCATGGCGCCCCTCCCCCCGCCCCTTGGCCACCATCCGTGTGTGCCGGGACCCACACATTCGTCCCCCCTGCGGTGTGTTCAGTACAGAGTGGTCAGTTCACGGGTCAGCTGGTCCACACTGCTCCTGGTCTGACCTGACTGACGTCTGTTTGATACTGTGGTGTTCTTTTTCTTTTATTTCTCCTTGCAACCTTTCCCGGAGGCAGTGGGTTCCAGAAGCCAGCTGTGTGTCGCCCCTGCCTGAGGGAGCCACTGCGCTGCTTGGTTCCTTCGGTCCTGCTCTTAGGTCTTCCTGATGCTTAGCAACTGAGACTCTTCCGTCTCGTAAAACTTGAAACTCTTGAATCTGAGCAACACCCCTACCATCTCCACGGTTGGACCAAATTGAGCTGGCCCACGCCATTTCCCCAGGGGTTCCCATGTGGGTGGTGGAGGTTGCTGAGGCTTGGGATCGAGAAGTGGGGGTGTCCTCTACACGCAGGCCCCCCTGACGTGTCCGGTGTTGTTTACAGGATGAGATTAACGTTCGCCATTTGGAGGGGCTGGTACCATCTCATCTCTGCAGTCTCCCTCCCTATTCATGTAAAACATCTCCATAGTTTAACGCCTCGATGTTTCTGTTCTTTCTGAGCTGAGACGATCTCCTTCGTTGTCTGCAGCAGAGGCGGGAGTTTGAGGGGTTTGATTCTTGAAACTTTTGTCGCCTTTAGAGATGGTGGGGATAGAAGGCATACTCTGCCTCTGCCCACAGTGGCTTGTAAGAAAGCATTCCCCTGGCCTCCTGGAGCAGCCTGAGACTCTGGGCTCTGAGACTCCGGGCGGGTTTCCACGCCCCGTGCCACCTGAGCCTGCAACCAGCTGCATCTATTCTGCACTGCACTTGGTGTCACAAAACAGATACACAGGCACCTCTGGGGTCAGCCTCCTGTCAGTAGTTAGTAAGTCAGCTAGTCTAGAATTAGTCAAGAAGAAGGGACCACGGCCCTAGGGGAGGAGCTGATGAAGACCTTGGCATTTATCTCTTCTGCTGTCCAGCCATGAACAATAACATAAGCAGCAGGTGGGGGGGTTGGCCGAGGCCAAGGCTCCTGGCAGCTGTTGGAAATTACAGTAGCCAGATAACTCTCCTGGCCTCACTAGCTCACTCCAGTGTCTCAGGGGCTCATAACTAGTGTGCTCCACGATATTCCAGAGGCATGGGGGGGCCTCCCGGGCTGGAGACACTGCGTACAGGCGGAAATCAGAAATCTGGGCAACATGTCAAGAACGAGACGCATCCTCCCTGTGCTGGAGCGTCTCCCGCTGAGGGTGGCTCCAGGAGGAGACTGTACCTGGTGCCCTGGCCCTGTACTATTCCTGCTGTCCCGAGAAGCCTGCTAGCAAGGTGCGCCGAGATGGGAGGCCTCCCAGAGGCTCCTGAACTTCTCTGGGGGACAGAGCAGTGCTGCTGGCAGGGGGGGAGAGAGAAACCAGATTGCGAGCCACATGCAGCTCTTTGGCCCCTTGAGTGTGGTGGCTCTTCCACAAAATACCACGGCCTGGGCGAGTCTATTTTGAAGAAGTGGCGTTAGAAGAAGTTTAAGTTTTAAAAATTTGGCTCTCAAAAGAAATTTCAATCATCGTACTGTTGATATTTGGCTCTGTTGCCTAATGAGTTTGCCGACCACTGCCCCAAGCCATCTGGTGAGGGACTGTTTGCATCTGGAGGATGTGACAGAACATTCCTGAGACCCCATTTCTTCCCGTATCCCGAGGTCACATAATAGGGTGGATGTTCTGGCCTCATGGTCAGGCCGTAGCGTCCATTTACAGCTGTGTCCGCTGTGTGCTGGCTTTGCCCGCCTTCTCCCGAGGGAAGAGGCACTCATGAGTGTGACTTCCGGAACTGCCTCCCATCCTCCCCGCCCCCAGGGGTGGTGCTGATTCTACCCCCAGATCCCCGGCAGTGATTCACCAGGGAGGGGAGGGGGCTTTCTGGGCCTCCTGTCTTAGCCGAGAAAAGGCCTTCACGTCCCAGTTCTTCCTCTGCCTCCCATAGGACTTACACTCAGTGAGCAGATGTGGAGAAGGAAGCTAGAACAGGTCCCCCTGGAAGCCAGCCAGCCAGTCTGACACATCCAACCTGAATTCTGGCCATAGAACCAATAGCAGAACATGGCTTTAGACTGCACATGTGTCAAACACAAGGCCCGCGGGCCAAATCCGTCCCGCCAGGCCTTGCAATGTGGCCCGCACCGCGCTGTCATCACTGCACTCCGCTGCGTTTCCATCACAATGACAGTTTATGACTGTTCAGTAAACCATTCGGCCCGCGATTTAGGCTGGATTTTAGATTTTGGCCCCTTCTCTGATTGAGTTCGACACCCCTACTTTAGAGGGATGTTCATTTGTATTTCAGGTTCTTGTAAATTGGGAAAACCTCAAGGATCCCTTTTATATCTCTCACCCTGTGTGCAGCCCCAGAGCAGTTCTGTAGAACGCACACTCCGATGCCCTCGCCTTCCAGGACACCCCTCCCCCCGCCCGGTCTGGGGCTCTGGCCAGAGCAGACGTTTGTCTGTCTGGTTGGCTGCTCCGCTAACTGCACTGCTCTTGTCCTCTCCACTAAGCAGCCAGGAATGACATATCAGGGCAACCAAGTCAGCAGATAAGTCATGACTCTTTGGTGACCGGTTCCCCCAAGCCAGTGGTCAGCAAACCAGCTAAAGAGCCACATGCGGCTCTTTGGCCCCTTGGGTGTGGCTCTTCCACAAAATACCACGGCCTGGGCGAGTCTATTTTGAAGAAGTGGTGTTAGAAGAAGTTTTAAGTTTAAAAAATTTGGCTCTCAAAAGAAATTTCAATCGTTATACTGTTGATATTTGGCTCTGTTGACCACTGCCCCAAGCCATCTAGTGAGGGACTGTTTGTATCTGGAGCACAAAGGTGGGAGGTCTGCTGGGGCTGGTGGTGGCAGGATCCTGACGGTGGTTTCTCCCCTCCTTTCCATCGCGTCGCACAGGTAGGGATGTTGGGGTATGTGCAGTAGAGAACTCTGCCTGGGCAAGGAGAACATTCAGATAGTGCCTGTGTATTCTGTTTCTGCCTTCCCCCCAACGTAGAATTGACACCTGGACCCAGGGCCCCGCAGGCCCTATGGCAGACAAGCTGGGGGCTGAGGCCAGACTGCAGTGCCCTGGACGGAGTGGCTCCTCCCAACAGCGCTCCCAGGTCAGCCCGAGCAGGAAAACAGACTGCAGCACATGCTGGATGAGATCGTAGGCCTTTAACTTTTTTTTAAGAAAGAAAGAAAGAAAGGAAAGGAAAATGAACAAGCCTCTTTTGTAAATGGCTTTCCTTTCTATGTATAAAATCCCCGCAGTTCCTTGTTTTTACATGTTCTTGCTGTGTAATTTTGAGATGTTACTGAGATTCTGAACATAATGTGCATTTTTTTTTTTCCTGTACAGATGAAATGGGAGAATTTAATAAAGAGTTTGCAGGTTTTTACTTGTTAAATCTTCTCTGTGGTGACTGGGCAGACGCTCCAACCGGCAGCTCCGCGTGTAGAAGCCTGTGGAGCCATGAGCGCCAACTGGGAACTTGTCACTGATGCCCACAGACCTTACTGTTGGGCTTTGGTATTCGTGGTTGAGTCAAGCAGAGTGAGACCATGGGATGTTTAGAGGAGAGACGGCAGTCAGATCTGGGTTTTTCTGACTCTCAGGCTGATGTGTTCAGAGTTATTCATCCTGACGTGTTTAAGCCATAGCCTGAGGCACCTTCCTGGGCAGGGCACCTGCCTGGACCCTCTCCTTACAGACACGGCACACGGATGCTGCCTGGTCTAGTGGCCGCCTCCCGGTGAGGTCCGGAGCTGGGCCGCACTTGTTTCCTGTGCCCTCCCAGTTCTGGGTGAGTGACCTCTGTGTCCTCCTTGTCGGGCCTTTTCTTTGACCTCTTCATTCAGCAAAGCTGATTTGCCTCTGAGTGCTTTAAAAGGAATAGCTTAATGAATTTGCATGGTAGCAAAGATTTACCTCGTCCCCTTGTCACGGAATGCTGAGGCTGGAGGCACCTGAAGAGGCAGAGAGAATATTGACCACTCGAAATTACAGTCATTTATGAATCATTTACTCTCAGCCCCGACAAGTGTAAGGGCTTCCTGGAGAACCACTTGGCAATGCCTGTGAAAGTTGTAATTCATCCCACCCTCCGATCTAGCAGTTCTATTTTCACAAATTTAACCCATAAAAATAATTGAACTCACGTATATTGGCATGCCTATGAGGGTATTGCAATAATCTTTATAGTAACGAGAAACTTAACAACTATAAATAGAGCAGAGGTTAAATTTTAAAGTGAGACACCATGTCATGCAATACTATGCAGCCCCCAAAAATGAAAGTGTAGGCCTTCCATTTCCGGGTAGAATGGAGCATTTTGTAACTGAAAGATTCTCCCAGTGAGGATAACTAGAAAAGCTAGTGAAACTGGTTGTTTTTATGGTTTAAGGGAGTTGCAGAAGCAACAGTAACCCATGGAAGTGAAGATTGTAGAGAGGCTGGTGCAGCTACTGTGGAAAACAGTATGGAGTTTCCTTTAAAAATTAAATATGGAACTGCTATTTGACCCAGTGGTCCTACTTCTAGGAATATATCATAAGAAACCCGAAACATCAGAAAGGATATATGCATCCCTATGTTCATAGCAGCACAGTTTACAATAGCTAAGATCTGGAAACAGCCTACGTGTCCATCAGCAGATGAGTGGATAAAAGAACAAACTGGTACATTTACACAATGGAATACTACTTGACAATAAAAACAAAAGGCTCTGACCATTTGCCACAGGATGGATGGACCTGGAGAGTATTATGCTGAGTGAAATAAGTCAATCAGAGAAAGGTATCACATGGTTTCACTTATATGTGGGATCTAATGAACCAAATAAACTGAAGATCAAAAATAGACCCGGAAACATAGAAGCAAGAACAAGCTGTTAAATGCCAGAGGGAAGGCTAGGGAGGATGGGTGGGAAGAGATCAACCAATGAACGTGTGTGTGTGTGTGTGTGTGTGTGTGTGTGTGTGTGTATCCATCCATCCATCCCCTGGGGCCACACAATGGGGTGGTGAGGGCCTGGGGGGTGGGGTGAACGGGAGTGAGCTAGGAGAGGTTAACGTGGGGAAAAGGAGGACTTATGTAATACTTTCAACAATAAAGATTAAAACAAAACAAAAAAGATTGCAGAGGGGAGAACCATGGAAAGGCAAGTTGACAATCTGCAGCCACTTGCGTTTGCCAATTCTGGCAGGAGGCCAAGGATCCAGGTTTTCCCCAGGCATAAGACTTCAGGTGGAACAAGAGAAATTAACCGAGTTCTTTAAAGACTTGAAGCCTCTGGGACCTTAAAAACAGGTTCAGGTCTCCCTCCATTCACTGAAGTCTGAAATATTACGAGAGGGGACCCTAAAAGCCTAAACCCACACTTCCGTAAAGCTGGCCAGGATTCTGCAGAATCGGTGCCAAGAAGATAAAGATCAGAATTCAAGACGGCACCAGGATTTCAGTTGGAAGCCCTAAAGAACTAAACTCTAGGAACCATTTGACAACCACCATAGTAATCACTGCTCAGGAGAAAAGCATCAATAGTCGATAAAAATTTGGTAAACGTTTTGGTGTGTGTGTGTGTGTTTGTGATGAGCACCTCCCCAAAATTAATTATATATATATATTGGGACAAATAGTTATTATGTGCCTCATATAGAATACATTAAAGAAACAACATCCCTTTTGTGGTAATCATGTCAAAAATGCACAGCCTGAGCTGAAACCGGTGTGGCTCAGTGGGTAGAGCGTCAGCCTGTGGACTGAAGGGTCCCAGGTTCGATTCTGGTCAGGGCCATGTACCTTGGTTGCAGGCACATCCCCAGTAGGGGGTGTGCAAGAGGCAGCTGATCGATGATTCTCTCTCATCGATCTTTCTAATTCTTTATCCCTCTCCCTTTCTCTCTGTAAAAAAATCAATAAAATATATATATTTTTTAAAAATGCACAGCCTGAATCTAATCATGAGAAAACATCAGACAACCCAAACTGGGGACATTCTATAAAATAACTGGCCTGCATTCCATCATGAAAGGTAAAGACTGCGGAACTGTTCCAGATGAAAGGAAACAGACGTGATCACTAAATGCAGTGTGTGTGCATGGACTGGATCCTGGACCAGAAATTTTTTAAAAATCTTGTTCTAAAGAATATTGGTGGGAGAATTGTTGAAATTTGAATAAGGTTTGTAGGTTAAATATTTTATGGTTCATTTCCTGATTTTGATCATTGTACTCCACATCCTCGCCAGCACTTGTCATTTGTTGATGACAGCCATTCTGACAGGTGTGAGACGGTACCTCGTGGTAGTTTTAATTTGCATCTCTCGGATTAGTAGTGACTTTGAGCATGTTTTCATATGTCTCTTGATCTTCTTTATGTCCTCTTTCAAAAAAAAGTATCCATTTAGGTACATTGCCCATTTTTTGATTAGGTTGTTTATCTTCCTTTTGTTAAGTTGTATGAGTTCCCTGTAAATGTTGGAGATTAAACCCTTATCAGAGATAACATGGACAACTATATTCTCCCACACAGTGGGCTTTGTTGTTTTGTTGGTGGTTTCTTTTGCTGTGTAGAAGCTTTTTATTTTGATGTAGTCCCAAATGTTTATTTTCTCTTTAGTTTCTATTGCCCTAGGAGCTGTATCAGTGAAGATATTGCTTCGGCATATGTCTGAGATTTTGCTATCTGTGGATTCCTCTAATATTTTTATAGTTTCCCATCTTACATGTTACTCCTTTATCCATTTTGAATTTATTTTTCTGTATGGTGTAAGTTGGTGGTCTAGTTTCATTTTTTTGCACGAATCTGTCCAATTTTCCCAACACCATTTATTGAAGAGATAGTCTTAAATCCATTTTATGTTCTTGCCTCCTCTGTAAAATGTTAGTTGAGCATAGTGGTTTGGGTTTGTTTCTGGGTTCTCTATTCTAGTCCATTGGTCTATATGTCTGTTCTTGTGCCAGTACCAGGCTGTTCTGAGAACAGTGGCATTGTAATACAGCTTGATATCTAGTATTGAGATCCCTCCTACTTTGTTCTTCTTTCTCATGATTGCTGCAGCTGTTCAGGGTCTTTTTTTTTTCATTCCAGATGAAATTTTGGAGAGTTTATTCTAGGTCTGTGAAATATGCCGCTGGTATTTTAATGGGGAGTGCATTGAATCTATAGGTTGCTTTGGGTAGTATGGACATTTTAATTATGTAGATTCTACCAATCCATGAACACTGTATGTTCTTCCATCTATTTGTCTTCCTCTATCTCTTTTTTCAGTGTCCTGTAGTTTTCTGAGTACAGGTCTTTTTACCTCCTTAGCTAAGTTTATTCCTAGGTATCTTAACTTTTTTTGGTGCAATGGTAAATGGGATTGTTTCTTTAATCTCTTTTTCTGTAAGTTCACTAGGTTTTCAAATTCTCTTTTACACTCAGTAACACAAGTTTTTTTGTTTGTTTTTTTATATATATATATTTTTACTGATTTCAGAGAGGAAGGGAGTAGAGAGAAATAGAAACATCAACGATGAGAGAGAATCACTGATTGACTGCGACTACTGGGGACTGAGCCTGCAACTCAGGCATGTGCCCTTGACCTTAATCGAGCCTGCGACCCTTCAATCTGCAGGCCAGTGCTCTCTCCACTGAGCCAAACCGGCTAGGGCAACCCAAGTTTTATATGTTATGTCTATATTTTGTGATGGCAAACATACACAGATGAGGAATATTTCACGGACATGGTAAGGGTAATTAAAGTGTCTGTTTATTCATTTAGAAGAAGCCTAGTAATATGAAAAGAAAACCTTCATTGAAATCCAGCTTGATAATACCATGTTCATGGGGGCAGAAAGGCTCGGTCACCCTGTGGGCCTGTGACCGGGCCCTTGAGAAAAGATCCCATTTACCTAAGTTCCTCAAATGGCTTCAGGGCCACACAGGACCACATGCTAGCGCTGCACAACAAAGGGACAGAGAGGGCTGGACAGAACGGCACGTTTACAGATGCGGACAGTGAGCTGTGGCACTTTACAGTCATTACAGAGGCGCTTTGACACATGGAGAGAGTGGACCGGAGAGGAGGGTGTGAGCTGTGCTGCTGAAGAACCCCTCACTGAGACGGGCTGGGCAGCCTCTCCCCACACCCGCCCGTTCTGGGAAAGGGGGAGTGAGCGGGCGATGGAACCTCAGCCTGAAATGGCGTTACCTTTGCCGCCCCCCGCCGTGGGACACTCTGGAGCACATGTGTCAAACACAAGGCCCGCGGGCCAAATCCGTCCCGCCAGGCCTTGCAATGTGGCCCGCACCGCGCTGTCATCACTGCACTCCGCTGCGTTTCCATCACAATGACAGTTTATGACTGTTCAGTAAACCATTCGGCCCGCGATTTAGGCTGGATTTTAGATTTTGGCCCCTTCTCTGATTGAGTTCGACACCCCTACGGCGTGTAAGGCACGAGAACTGGCGGGAGGAAAGATGTGCTCCAAGCCCCAGTTC